AAAAAAGTCAAAACTCGGGGGGTGTTGTCAGACAAGACAAGACTGAACATTTTCTGCCTCCCAAGCTCGACTTAGCATGAAACGCCCATCCTTGGCTTCTGACTCGCTACGACGATGAACAGCCAAAACCCCGCGCTTTCTATCAATATCCCAGTGCCCTGTCCTGGGAACCAGCAGGGCTTCTCCTCATCCCCCCAAAAGATAGGCGTGAACCGAAGTCCGGCAGGGTAGAAAAAAGAAGAGCTTGCCATCACAAACATCTTCCTCTTTATTGCATAGCGCGGGCCAAACCATGTCGTGAGATGATGCCCATCTTAGACAGGCCCCCCCCCTGGCAGCAGCGTCTCTCGTGGCCCCCAATCTCTCTCTCTCAGTCTCACACACTCACTCTCTCTCTCTCTCTCGCTTACCCCTACCCAGACTCTTGCGCCTCTCTGTCCGGGCTCTGCCAGGGGTCGGCAAATAGCATGCCGGACGAACTTGGTCCAGCCACAGCCTGTTCACTTGTGTGCGTGCGTGTGTGCATGCAGTATTACTGGTACGATTCCTCTGTCTCTCTCGATATGCCTTGTGGAGATCCCCCCTCGATCCCCTGTATGTTGACAGACCGAATGCAACGTTAGGCAAACAAACATGTGGTGGACCTAGACCAAATAGTGGCTTTCCAGCAATACCCAACTTGGGATATTCGTCTGCTTGTGGCTAGAGTGTCAGTATCACGACCTCTGCGTATGACACCAGAGATAACTTATTCATTCATCAGCACTCTGTGGAGATTAGCATTCGCCACCGCAAGGAAAAGTAGGCTCAACAAGATGCTTTCAGCGATCCATAATCTAAGCTTAGGCAAAGCGGGCTGGCGGGAATTCTCCGATCTCAGTGGGGTTATTTTCACCTTTTAACAACGCTGCCTCGCCTAAAGGCTTGAACCCATTCATCACGATGCTGGTTGTCTTTTCTCTCTTCTTGTCGTATGTTGGCCAATGGCAAGAAGTGGTGATCCACGTGCCGCATCTCCCAAGTGTCCACCAGCGCCCTGAACAATAGCTGAGAAACAAATGCGATGGTGATTGAAACATGGAGGCATGTAAATGCCTGCGTAGTAGTGTAGTGAGATCCATGCGTACCTTGGCCAGGTGTCTCACTGTCAAGGCGCTGCATATGCCAGTATATCTGATACGCGAGTATACGTGCAGACGTATCTGGTCAGCTTTCTGACGCTCAAGAAGGGTAATTAACCCGCCGGCGCGTTATTACGGATTGGTAAGTATGGACAACAAATTATCACATCTCCGGCCGAGTTGGAAAACGGGTTTTGTTACTATCCGGTGCTGAAAATTGGCTATTCGCATGCGGTCAGATGAGGCACACTGGCTTTTTTTATACCTGGATAGTAGTTAAAGCTGTTGTCCTGAAATATGTAGAAGAAAGAGAGCGATGTTAGCAGATGTTAGAAAAGGGTGGTGTCTTGCACAAAGCATATGATAGACCAGAGTTGTGAAAATCCTCTCCGACTGCATGGCGTCCCATCATCGTCCATGGCTGCAGTCCAGAGTGTGGAGCAGATCAAGATCTCCTGGCGGCTTTCTCTGCCTCTGATACGGGGTACATGCGCGCTTGTTTTGAAATACAAATCAAGTCAACAGGTCTTGTCAAAGCGTAGGGGCTGAGCCAACCCCTGGTAACACAAGAACGCACTGTTAAAACGCCACGGCTTGGCCATTTTGGAACTCCGTTTTCTTGCCCTTGACAGGCAGGCTCACTGACATCCAGTAAAGACCACTTTCATCGAAGCCTCAACCGGTGTGGACGCATTGGCCCTTGTAACTGGCCTCACCGAGTGGAGACTGCTGCGAGAGTGCAGAGGATCTAGACTTGCCTTGCATGCCCAAGGCAAGGCAGCTCAAGACAATGTCTCTCGACTTTGACAAGACAACGCCAACCGGGTCCCCGGAGCAATGCGTGTTCCTGCAGGCGACACAGGCAGACGAATGAAGTCGTAACATCGGCCGTCTCTAGACAAGCTGAGGTGTAGCACGGCCGATATGATGCTGCGAGGCGAAACGGACATCTAGGCAGCCATCTGATGCGTGTAGACCTGGTTAACGACCGGTGCATTTCGTCACACACGGATGTATGTATCTGCCGACAGTTGGCCAGCAAAAGGTGCTCTTCCGCATCCAGGGCATCCTGGCTTGGGTCTGCTAGCGAAGTAATTGATTCGTCCAGGAAGAATGAGTCGAAAGAACCAGCCATTCTGCCGGACAGCTGGTGGACGGATACGATATACGATCATGAGAAGCTTACTGCAGGGTATCTCCCCTGGCGAGCGTGGTTTCCATCCGTGCAAGTCGTCTGGATAGCTGTCCCCACCGCTGTAGTCTGTCTCTGTCTCCTTACAGACAAATGAAACCGGCTGTATCTGCTCCGATTTCATTGATCAATGTAAGAATGAAGCTGTATCCCGTGCGATGCAAGGTGTCTTGCTTGGTATCAAGGCCGTTGAAAGGCAACAAGTCACAGCCTTCCGAAACAAAGACGACAACCACGCCAAGTGTCTCCAGAGTGCCAATCTTCATCATTCACACATGCATCCACATGTACTACATTTGCCATTTTGCCGCTTTAGAATCAATCTAATGAGCCTCAAGCCCCGATGGTGTCCTGAAGGATGCCGACTTGGCTGAGGCTTGCAAGCTGAGTACACCTGAAATGCCAGATTTGCCGTCTGCATGAGATTCTGTTTCATCGTGTAGTAGTAGGCTGGCGCAAGAGCTTCCCAGCGTAGCCATGCCCCTTGCTCGGGACTCCATTGTAGTCTTGTTATACCGCCGCATTTGATAAAAGAGCATCATGGTTCTCGGATATCTTCGATACGGAAAGCAAGCATCCGGGTTAGAATGGGACGATATGCTTAATTGTCTAATAGGTAGAGCTGGGTTCTCCTGGTCTGTTTGATGGCCATCGGCCATTCCGTAAATGTCTCAGGAATCTGATATCTGGAATGGATGCTGCGCGGGTTTCTCTTCTCTTTTCAGATCCCAAACCGCGCTCCCCTGTTCGGCAGCTCTGCAGGCCCTATAGCTCCATATCATTCGTATTAGCGATATGGATGGGGCGTGATAGAGACGGAAAGTGGGTGATCTGCTGCATCAGTACAGAAACGGTATCCCGTATTCCAAAATCATCATGTGCTTTCATGCAGGCCCTTTACGAAGAGCAGCTACCCTGTCACGCTCGTTGGCATTTCCGGGGAAGTGTAGGCTCGCATACATACATACCCGACTAGTGCTCTCCAATACGAACAAGATATGCGTGTTTCATATCTCTTTCACAACTTGGTATTCCAGAATGCGTCTGATCACTGGGAACATAGCCGATGTTGTAGCTACTACCCTAAACGATACGTTCTTTTGACCTGGAGCAGAAATCAGGGCACCATCCATGCTCGTCAAGGTTGCATTATTGATTTTGAATCCCTAAAGCTTATAGGAGAGGGGAGTGATTGGTTCCTCCATTACCCCAAGAGAATCTTCGGTTAGCAGGTGCTGCTTGTGCTGAAGCGAGGCCCATCCACGAACTCGGAATTGTTTCGGCATGAGTATTATCTTTTCGTATCCCGTATACCTCTGGCAGCGAGGCTATTGCGTTATCTAGATAGCCTAGAGCAAGGGGATGGTTGACTGGCCTGCTTCTCCACAGACAAATCGGCGAGAACGGATGAGTAGCCTTTGCTAGAGAGATGACCGAACGGGATCCACGGTGGCGTCGTTCGGAGACAAAGCAGTCAGCAGTCTAAACGTCAAGAATAGCAATGCTTCTCTATTAGTCCCCGACTCCTCATCGTAATGGTTGCCCTGGGCATCCTGAAGTGCGACATATTTGGTCCAAGCGGGACTGGATTCGGCGTCCGGGATGGCTGGGCATGGAGATAAAGACGCAGCGGTATTGCAAAGATCCGCAGGGAAGACGAGGGGAAGCTTCTTTTTCGTGAGGCATCGGCTCCGCCAATGACCAATCTGAGTATCCTTGCGTATCTTAAAAAGGCATGTGAGGCGGTAGCAGCACACTAAGTTGACATCCTTCGTATGCCGGCCGCCCTTTGGGCCTGTTGTTCTTGTACAGGCATTTGCGGCAGAGGATGATACGGGTAGTGGGCACAAGCAGTTGCTGCTGACCACCACTTCACATGGTAGCCGCAACGGGTTCTATTGTTGGCTTTAGCGTCTCTGAGACGGTCGTTGGCAAGTCTGGGGATCGATCTAGCTGGCGTTCAGATCCTCCACGTGGGCAACGGCCGTCTTCGGTCCGGTGGTTCTACTCGTCAACTTCCCCCGGAGCGGCAGTTATACGCATCATCAGTGTTCAGACCGCTGATTATGCTTGTATCATCATTTTGAAGCAGCATTGGTCATTCTTGGAGCATTCCGTAAACCAATGCCGCAATCCTAATGCCCGTAAAGGTCTACCGTCTGGCAAGTGATTGTGCGTCGCATTGTAGGAGCCGTGTGAAACGCTCATGCTTTTAGCTATTCCTAGGACAATAGATGACGTCGGGGCTAGTGCCTTATGCGACCACGGGCACGAAGCTCGCAATCCTCTTCGATCAAGAGTGCACTGATGCTTTAGCAGATCGATAGACTCATCTCGGGGGGCTAAATTTCCCCGTGCCCGCAGGAGTGATGCGAATATTGGCCAAGTAATAACAGAACGTGTATGTGACCAGCAGGTCAGCACTGCGTCTGCCGGTGCATGTTCGTTTAACCCTATCTGTAAAGAAAACATTGATGAATACCGGCTGGTCGTTTATTCCCGTCTGTCTTGCAAGCCGTTTGGAGGAGTTTGTAGTATATCCTACCAGCCCTGTTGGGTAGGGCCAAGAATGGGTTGCTGCCCCGGGAATTGGTCCCCGGGTGGCTTTGGTCGAATGGCATTCTTGGCTCGAGATTGAACCCCTGCAAAGAGCTAATGCAATAATTGAGCAATTATAGACATGGATTCTAGGCTTCTCCCCACCTTTGCCCTGGTCGAGAACTCCTCCAGCCTCTCAGACCTGAGGCGATGGGGTTATGTGCCTCACGAGGGTGGTATCGGCGCAACAGTGATTGCGTGCACTGGGAATTGGGCGCTGGAGGGGTGAGACGCACATCTGTGTGTCGACTGAGCGGCTTCGAGAATTCCGCAGTACTGTACTCCGTAATCCAAGGCCGCTTGCGGACTGTTCCGTCCTTTCCTGGGTCCTTGTTCGGGGTGCTGACCTTGCAGCAGCGGTGCGGTGCAGTGCGGTGCAGAGCAGAGCAGAGCAGAGCAGTGGCCGCGGGCGAGACAGAGCCAACCTTGCTCGTCGGGAATCTAAGCGCACGGTTTGCCGCGAGCATGGCAAGGTGTCAGTTGCCCCGTGCGCGAAGCCATCTACAGGCATCATGGAGAGGAGAGAGGAGTCGTTATCCTGTCCACCAGACCTGTATATACCAGCACGGAGGAATACCACGCGAGAGTCGCCCTGTCCATGTCCTTGTCGGCCCAGCATCTTTCCTTGCCCGCCACGCGAGTGATGGCTTGCTAGTCGGTAGAACGGGAGCTGGGTATGGGATAAAGTTGCTGCTGTGATGTGATGTGATGCCGTTGCCTGGGGCCCGCGCAGGCGATGATGCAAAATGCAAATACCGACCCGGCAAAGGCAGGGTTTGCGATGGATACTACTATAGGTAGGTACGAGTATGGGAACGAGGACTCAGGTGACGATAAGTCTCCTAGGCTACGAATCATGTGCGATAAGGCATCCAACCTGCGTCTTTGCACGTGGACATATCCTAATGTACCTACACCTGCTAAGGTATAGTAGCGTTGGAACCTCGTACCGACCTACTATAGCCCGTTTGTGAGTGAGATTGTGAGATTACCACGGTCTCGGCCTGGGTTGTAGGCGCAAGTCTTTCCATTTCCCAGCTCCAGCGTATCAAAAGCGCCCCGAGGGAACAAGATGGTGTGGCTACATCCAGAAGGCCAGTATGAGCAGGTTCAGGTAGCCCAGATTACAGCCCGCAAGCCAAGCTCACGCCTCCTCAACCCTGTCCGGAAGTCTGATATAGCCTATTGAGATATGGATGTACTGCTATAAAGTCCTGGATTGCATCTGCCGGCCGCCTGCTTGTAGGGATATCTAAAGTCCGAAGGAGTAAGGCCCAGCACAATATGCTTGATGGCGATCCCCCATTTTGCGCAATAACCGCGGTGGAGTAGGTTTCTTCGCCCTTCCTGACCTTGCACTTACCAGGTTACCATGCCCATTATAACACCCTGTCCCACGTGTGCCCTGAGGTAGCGGCTGGATTGGGGTTTATCAAACCGGCATTCCCGCAACTGTAGGCCATTCGAGCTCTGCGTTTCATGTTTGATATCAAGAATCAGGTCGGAAAGACCAGGAGCTAACTGAGGCGGGAACTCTTCAAGCGCAACATTAGGACCGGATCGTCTAGTCCCAGGTGTAAACAAGCAAGACATGGCAACTCGACGATAAACACAGTGGCAAGGATTCATGTAATTGGGTGTTGTTCTAATTCGTTGTGGTGTCTAATAATTCCGCGGAATATTATCATGGTGGTGGTGAAGTGATTCCACCGCATGCATGAATCTTACACGCACTCACTCTCCTTTCTACCATGTATGAGCGAAACCTGAAACTTTGGCCACAAGCAAAATTGGATGATGGATGGAGTTTAATTATTAGAGATTGATCATTCCACACGTATATCTGCATGTGATGTTTGACCATTACGCTTGGCCTCACAAGAGGAGGTAGGTAGGGTATGATAGTAAGGCAAGTAGTTGTCTTCTAGAACCTACACCTATACTCTTGTCCCAGGCAACAAGAAGCAAAAGTACCATTGAGTGCAATTACACACCTTGAAGGTGGTACCTACCTACCGTCTGCAGGTACTTGCTTTTGGGGCTGGCTGCACTGCACAGGCCGTAAGTCTTGAAGCCTCACCATGAGCTGCATCGCATCATCTGGAACACAAAGATCCACGTCCAACCACGGCCAACCTCGGGTCTGTCCCGAGTGGGTTGGCGTGGCATCTGGTCCTGGCCTAAATTTTAGCGGCAGATCAAGCGTAAATTCCAGTGCAGGCACTTCTGGGCAAGCTGTAGGGCCTAGACGCATAGATAGGTACGTAGATCTATGCTCTTATGGCGCAACATGCAGCTACCGTGTGTTTCACCCCACCCCCACGATCCCCTGTCAACTGTTTACTTGTGCTTCTTCTCGCGCCAATTACAGGCGGCGATCCCTACACCAGGCAATCAATCCTCCTCACCCAAGAGCCGCTCCCCGCAAAATCGCATCTCGCGAGTCACACGCAACCTGCGGTTTTGATGGAAGGCTGAGGAATTGATGGCGTCTCTTGCAAGGCTGATACGGAACACGGTCTGGCAAAATACCTACCCATTCTCTCTCTCTCTCTCTCTCTCTCTCTCTCTCTCTCTCTCTCTCATATATATATATACGTTCGAAACGACGCACAGCTCTGTCTTCTCGCGATAGCAGTAGGAGCCCGTACCTGCATGTCATACCGTGTCAGCACAGCCTGCCATTGATGCATTTCTTGCTTCACACTCGTCTCCACATCCACTGTTACTTTTCTCTTCTTCTCACCCTCCAGACTTTCATCCCTTCTCCTGGTCCTTGCGCTGGTGATCCTCACAGCTGAGCCCACTCTCGAGGTGCGGCATACACCCGCAAGCCCGGATGCAATGTATATCCACCAAGCAAGTGATGGTGATGTTACCGCGCAGACAACCTCGACGATGAAAACAAATTGAAAGTTGCATTCGAAGGAATCAATGGGATTTGCTATTGCTCAGTCAGCAAGGGAGTTGCGCCTGGAGACGCTTCCTCATCCTTCTCGGCCCGCCCAGACCGGCCAGCTTAGCAAAATCAACCGCGCGCAACAACTGCCCCCCATGTCCTCCAGTGTGGTATTTTCCTGGGAGAGCCCCCATCGTCTGCCCTACCTTTGCGTGGCAAAACGTCTCCATTTGTCTTTGACGGATTATGGGCCACTCGGCAAGAGTCAGGTGAGCTCCGTTCTGAGCTTGGCCGCCCTCCCTCTGGTCCTGACTATTCCCCGTGCCTCATGATGAAACGGCTGCACGACCCTCAGGCCTCGCTCTCACCAGGTGCCTCTCTAGACTCGATCGAGAGAGATTCCATGGCCCATGTGCTTGAGCACAGCCAGTCCACAGTTGCTTTATCCGCCCTAAAATAGTTCCGGTCGGTTTCTTTCCACATGGCTAATTGAGACGGTTCCAAAACAGACATGGGGGTTTGTTTGCTCGTCGTCTCGTGCTCAACCCCTGCTCAACACTACACTGGTACATTGCTCCATCACCACCACTCCCAGTGTACATGAGATTACACCCCGAGCATACAAGCTTTGCCTAACTTGGCTCCCCAGAGGAGTGGCCACCACCGCTGATCCCGCAGTGCCATCCAATGCGGTGCATGCCGAATCCCTGCCCCGGTCGTCGTATCACGTAGGCAGCTAGCTGGATCCCGACTCAACTCACAGGTCTTTGGTTCCTGTCAAAAGATATATATACAGATGGCATCACTTTTCTCCTCTGGTCTGCATCGTGGCTTTGCCGAGCACCGACAGCTTTACCTGCCATTGATGCAACTCGGGAAAAGACACGACGAATACACAGCAATCATCTCATACATTCATTCTCTTTCTTGGCTCTGCTACTCAAGCTGGGGCCATCCTATCGCCACTCCTTGCTTTCAGCTGATCAATACTCAACACTCTGAAATTTTGATTGCTTGTCCTACCGGATTCTACCCAGGCCGCCATCATCCACTCCCTTCCTAGCATATGTTACACAGCGTCTTTGGAACTATATTTTCCATTAAGACATCCATAGCGTCACTCGGCAGCCTCGTTTGATTCCGCGGGACCAATGGGCTAAGATCTTCCCACTTCTTACAGCTTGCCTTGACCACTTCCTGGACCACAAATCTCACTCTTAAGCCACTCATACCTCGCTGCCGCAACTCGGGATCCGCAATTAGACGGTGTGAAAGCCACCGGTATCTTGCATCCCAGCTGCACTCTATTTGATCAATATCCTGTTGGATAATTAAGCTGTGCGACTCTTCTGAGAATAAGAGTACCCACGGTGATATATATACAACCCTCGGGGCGCGCTCGTCCAAGTCAAATTTCAACTCCTGCCAACTACCGCCATTCTCATCAATTAATCCCAAGCACATCGTATTCATTCCTTTTATTCATTCCTTTTCACAAACGCCATCACTTATAAGCGTCTGTGATCTTACCAGCTGTTAAGCATATCAATCTTCTTGATAATACAAGAGTCCTGTTTGAAAGGCAATATGTCGCAAATGATGTTCAAGGGATTTACAGATGGGCCTGATCTGAGGCCGTTTGCCTGCGATTGGGAGTCCTGTAACAAGGTATGGATAGCAATTGGTCACCATAACACAGCCATTCTTTCACGCAAGCTGACACATTAAAAGGACTTCAAACGCAGATCGGACCTGACAAGGCACTACAAGATTCACACGAATGAGCGGCCACATCCGTGTACAGCCCCTGGCTGCGAAAAGCGATTCATCCAACGCAGTGCTCTCGCTGTACACACTCGAACGCACACCGGCGAGAAGCCGCACAAGTGCAAATACCCTGGTTGCATAAAGAGGTTCTCAGATGTAGGTTATCTGCAAAGGCACCCACCGGGACAGGAAATTAATACTGTGAATAGTCGTCAAGCCTTGCTAGACACCGCCACGTACACACTGGGAGTCGTAGTCGCAGATGCGCACACATCGACTGCCCGAAGAGGTATGAATACTTTTGATCCCCTATTAGATTGAGGTGGCCTAACTGACCAAATTAGCTTTTGTCGTAATAAGCTCGCTGTCAGGCAGAGGGAGCACTCTCAACAGCGTGATTATTTCGGACAAATCGATTGCATCTCTGATTCGGAGTCCAGCCGTTCGTCATCTATGCCAGCCCAGCCATCCACTCCGCAGCCTCTTCATGGCATCACCGCCCACCACATCTCAGCTTTACACGGAAACATATTCCAACCCACCCCGCCTGCTTCCGATCTCGATGGCCAGGTACACATCTGTTGCATCGATGAGCCATTTGACTCCCCTCACGCCGCTACAGACGAGCTGCAAGACATCACTACACTGCACCGATTCAGCAGCATGCCTCTGTATGGCATTGGGCAAGGCAATTCCCATATTGAGACGATGAACTTGGACGACCAGTATACTGGATCGATCGGGCAATCCGCACTGGATCTGTCGTACCCGTCCCTGGGTCTTAGTACCAATTCACACAACAGTCCTACCAGCATCCAGTCAACTTCCAGCCATGGCGCCTTGTCACAAAAGAACTATCACAAGTATCTGGGACTGCAAAATTCAACATATTCTCTAAAAAACGCAACTTCTCTGGGACAGTCTGCGCCAATAATGACTTACTCTCAACAGTTGGCTCAAGCACGGCAGCAAATGCTTATCCACCCGGGGCAAATTCCAAGCCATATTGTGGGACGATACGGTTCTCCTACATCGGTGAAGTCTGAGCCATGGTATGGCTACGAGACGTATGGTGTGTACAATATATGAGTAGCAACAAGTCCGTTTGGTGTACAAGAAGCAAACACTGCTTCGGCGGGCTTTGGGGGGTGGGCTAGGATCAGCAATTCACTCACTCCCACTGTATCTAATAGTAAATCGGAATGATATAAATGAGGGTCAGGAACACTGGGAGTTTATCACGGGCGGGCTTTTCTTCTTCTTCTTCTTCTGGGAGGCATGGGGGAGGTATTCTACGGAATAATAGCATGGTGCTATGAGGTGGCGGACTGATTGCGTGTACGGATTTTGTATATTGGTAACTCTGTGTATATATATGTAAAGAAAGGCTCTATTTCAACAGCATAAAGCCAAGTATATGAAGCAATCCATCTACGTTGTTTTTTTTTTTTTTTTGAGGTTGACTGAAGCCACCAAATTACCTTGATTAAGCACAGGTACCCCAAAGTCAATACTACAATGATTTCCAAAAACGGATTGGCGGGGACCCGGCCTTTTTCCGTTAGCTTCCATCTCTTTGCTTCTGTCAGGTCAGGTGACACGTCACTTCGTGAAGGTTCGGTAGAAGCTGGCCTGCCGACCATGGCCGATAGAACCCCGATCGTGGCGATTCTCTTCCCATCACTCATACTTGTTGTATATCCAGCCGGCATCATGAGGCCATCGAGATAGAGGTTTTTGCACTCGGAAGTATCCTCGCCCGCGATCAACCATCATCCTTCTACTTGACGATTGGTAGGGGGAGGGATCCAGACTCGTTCTCATTCATTGCTGGACCTGGCCGGCTTCTCGATAGCGCCAGGCCTTGGCCCGGCAGGCTGCTGCTCCACGTCATACGATAGGACGGCATTGACTATCCTTGCATCCTCCCGTCTCGAATTTCCTCTCTCTTGTCATCGCGGGGCTTGACATTCGACATCCGACCTTCGCCTTGAGATAGGCGGCGTCACTCGCGGCGATGGCGTTCCACGGTGGCTTGCTGCCTGTAAGTACCTGTCCAGGTCCCTTGGACGCATGAATTCCGAAAACCGAGGCCACATGCTGATGGAAACTTGAACAGTCAATGGCAGCGGCCGCAGCGGACACCTTACCTTCCATCACCAACACTCTCATGAGGCCTTGGCGACCTTCCTCGGTGCCGCGCCAGCAAACCGATGCTGCTATTGAAGCCGAGACTGCGCGAACCAGTTCCGTGGCCGAAGCGACAGAAAAGGTGGGAATACCTCTTTTAGACCATTTCTAATGACTTGCATTGTTGACTTTGATGATAATTCTTTCAGTCGGCGCGAACCCTGCTACCCGATTTTCTTCAGCAAGCACCACTGCACGTACCAAAGGCCATTACGTCTAGCGCGATGATACCGACCAACGTCCGCACTTCAGTCTCTGGACTGGGCCGGGTTGGGTTGCTCGCAGCGAACCCTATCCTCCGAAGGCCTTACTTTCAACCTGTTAATACCGTCTCGTCTCCCCTTGTCAGCCTGTTTATGCGACCAACTCCCGCCGTCTCGACCCCGCTACGCGCAATGTCCACGACCCGGATTCTCTCCGGAACACTCGGTACACAGCACAGAGGCTTTGGGACGTCCAATGGAATTTCTCGCAGTCAATTAGCTTCCGTCGAAGAATCGGCAAACAGGAACCCCGGAAACGCAAACCTTCAAAATGCCTTTTACCAGCTTCTTTTGAGAGCAAACATGCCTGGCATCCTGGTGGAAAGATATCAAACTGGCCGTTTCGCAACAAACGCAGGCACCGAGGACGCTTACAAGCGGGCTCTGGCCGCTCTTAATAGTGGTACGAGCACCATCGCGACAGCCACAGCCACACCTGGATTTGCACGAGGACAATGGGCAGGAAACGAACAGGCCATTGCGAACGCAGCCCTTAGCGGATCGATGGGCGTCAAGGGAGAACCAATCCACGTTGTCGTGCAAGAGTCAACCCGGTCGCTTGTTTTTCGTTGGGTCAAGTTTTTTGCTACCTTCATTGTCTTCACCTACCTCTGCTTCGCAGCCGTGACAATCCTGATTGAGACGCTGAGCACCTTCAGGCGTGGACCGGGAGCCAAGACCGACTCTGAGGTCAAAGCCGAGAAACAGACGACCCGATTTGACGACGTTCACGGATGCGACGAGGCCAAGGAAGAGCTTCAGGAGGTGGTCGAATTCCTTCGCAACCCCGATAGCTTCTCTGATTTGGGCGCCAAGCTGCCCAAAGGCGTTCTCCTCGTTGGACCCCCTGGTACTGGAAAGACGCTGCTCGCTCGAGCTGTTGCTGGAGAGGCCGGTGTTCCATTCTTCTACATGTCTGGCAGCGAATTCGATGAAATCTTTGTTGGTGTCGGAGCCAAGCGTGTTCGAGAACTATTTGCGGCGGCCAAAGCCAAGTCCCCTGCCATCATCTTCATCGACGAGCTCGACGCTATCGGTGGAAAACGTAACCCAAGGGACCAAGCTCACTCCAAGCAGACTCTTAACCAATTGCTCACGGAACTTGACGGATTCGATACGGATACAAAAATTATCATCATGGCGGCTACCAACTTGCCCAAGTTGCTGGACAAGGCTCTTACCAGACCTGGGCGATTCGATCGACACATCAACGTGGACCTGCCGGATGTTCGTGGGCGTATCGCCATCCTCAAGCATCATGCCAAGAAGATCAGGCTGTCACCGGACGTGGATCTTGATGCTATTGCCGCACGCTCGCCTGGACAATCTGGTGCTGACCTCGAGAACATGCTGAATGTCGCAGCCCTACGCGCTAGCAGAGCAAAGGCCCGCGAGATCTCCAAGCAAGATATTGACTGGGCATTTGACAGAATCACCATGGGCGCCGAGAGAAAGTCGATGGTGGTGACGGAAAAGGAAAAGGAAATGACGGCATACCACGAGGCTGGCCACGCTCTTGTCCAATTGTTCGAAAAGGAAAGCTCCAACCGACTCTACAAGGTCACAATCCTCCCCAAAGGCCCTTCCCTGGGCCACACCGCTCATGTCCCTGCTATGGATAAATACTCGTACACCGCGGCCGAATACATGTCCAACATCCGCGTGCTTCTTGGAGGCAAGATGGCAGAGGAGATGCGATACGGTGACGATAAAGTGACGTCTGGTGTTTCTAATGTAAGTTCACGTATACGTATCGTGAAATGCGAATGCGTGCTAATAAACCGGCTTGCAGGATCTGGAGAGAGCTACTGACCTGAGCTTTATGATGGTCACTCACTTTGGCATGTCCAACGCTTTGGGACCTGTTGAATACGGCAGAAGATATGAGAACCTCAGTTCTGAGACCAAGGCTTTGATTGAGGGTGAAGTCCAGAAAACGCTAAGAAAGTCCTACGAAGATGTGAGAAAGGTTCTGACGGAGAAGCGCAAAGAACTCGACTTGCTGGCTCAGGCATTGGTACAATATGAGACTCTGGATAAAGAGGAGGTTGAGAAGGTCATCCGTGGAGAAAAGCTGCCTGGCCGTACAATCGTGCCCAAAGGACCGCTAACACTACCCATCCCGGATGAGATTCCTCGACCTCCGGGACTGGGAGTGCCCCAGCCGCATCCTCCTGAAACACCAGCTCCCCCGGCTTCTGCTAGGTCATCTGCCACATGAAGACGATGATGAGTTTGATGATGGCCGTGGTAGTTGAGTCATGACGGGTATGACTTGGCGCGGTAAGGCAAAGCGTGGTATGCGATGAAATGACGAATATGGACCTGGATGGGGAGGGACACATAATCCTTCATTTTTATTTGCATGGAGCTTTTTCACTTCGCAGTGGCCAACGGGGTTTGGCTAGCGAGCAAGCCGAAGCGATGTTTTTGACATTCCGGGATCTTTGAAAAGGCGTCATGTTCACAGCCCGGACGACTTATTTCTCATCGCGGTGCACTTCTGGAGGAAGTCTTTTTTCAAACTGGTAAGCGTACCTATTGGTGGGGTCTGGAACGAAATGAAATGCATTTGAGACAGAAATTGGGTCTTGAGAAATGCTGTTGTACTGTATTAAAATCTCTATCTTGTACATTGAATCACCGCTGGATTTTCTGATACCTCGGAATATCACTGTTTCCTGTTGTTTTGAGGCTCAAGAAGACTGACACTGACATGAATTGTGATATTGAGGCCCATCTACATGCATGGTGCATTGCATATCGGTGGATATCAAACTACTCCAATTTTCAAGGGTTAGTTGATTCAACCCCAACTATCGTATTCCAACGCTTTACTCGTCAGTTCTATCGCAGTTGGGCATATGCTATTTAGCCGCAAGCCTCTTTATCTCCGATCGGATATATCCTGCCAAGCGGAGGGACTTTCCTGTTTGTTTCCCTCCTATTACCACTAGCATCGAGCCATGACTTCTGGGGAGGGGGATGTTGACCCGCTTCGGACGCAGTGGGGGAGCAGAAATTGGAGGCGGGGGAATCAAGAAGACGTGATTTGACGTCAAAGATCTGGAGGGGGGGATCCGTTGAGATGGAAAAGAGAGGAAGTCATTGGTGCTTTTTCCTTGTTCCGTTTGCTCTGGGTTGACTATTTGTTTGGGCTTGTCTCGTCCGTTTTCTCTTCTCCTCTTCTTATCCCTTTTCCTTGAACCAGGACACATTGACTGAACTTGGGATTGTGTGTTGAGTTTTGAGGATTTGTCTAACATCATCTGGGTCTATACGTGTTGAGAAAGAGGGAAATAGCTTCGACTAAGACACAATGACCAAGGTTCTTCTCACAGGTAAGTTGCCTCCCAAGACTTTTATGTATGAGCATGATGAGCTGGCTTTTGCTAATGGGAGGAATGAAATAGGTGGCTCAGGCTTCATTGCCGGTATGTTTCGTCTCATTCTCGTCATTCAACTTGTATCTTTCTCATGACAAGACATGAGATGATGAAAACACCACCAAACGCTCTTTTCAACATGTCACTCATTATTCCATGACTCTCACCCCAACACCACGGACGCCCAAAGAAGAAGAAAACTGATGTAGAGATTCCAGCCCACATCCTCGAACAACTCCTCGCCAAAAACCACACCGTCATCACCACCGTCCGCACCGAGGACAAGGCAGAAAAGATCCGCGCCGCCCACCCAGACAGCGTCCAGCAGAAGCGCCTCACCGTCGTCACCGTCGGCGACATTGCCCAGCCCAGCGCCTTTGACGCCGTCATCGCCGCGCACGCCGACGGGCTCGAGGTCGTGCTTCACACCGCCAGCCCCTTTCACTACAAGTGGACCGACGCCCAGAAGGAGCTCATCGACCCGGCCCTCAACGGCACCCGGGGCATCCTCGAGGCCATCCACCGCGAGGCCAAGTCCGTCAGGCGCGTCGTCATCACGTCGTCCTTTGCCGCGGTGCTTTCCGAGGAGAGGCTCTTCGACCCCAACACCACCTTCACCGAGGAGTCGTGGAACCCGGACGGCGTCGACGACGCTCACCGCTCGCCGCCCACCGCCTACCGCGTCTCCAAGACGGCCGCCGAGCGTCTCGCATGGGACTTTGTTGCTCGCGAGAAGCCCTCTTTCGACTTCGTCACGGTGAACCCGCCCGTTGTCTTTGGGCCCGTGGCGCACAGCTTGGCCTCGCTCGACTCGATCAACACATCCAACGAGCGCATCGTCGCTCTTCTACGCGGTCAGTGGAAGGAACGCATTGGCGACACCGGCCCCGTCGGCCTGTGGATCGACGTGCGTGACGCCGCCGCCGCCCACATCAAGGCCTTTGAGATCCCCGAGGCTGGAGGCCGTCGTCTCTTCACCGTCGCGGGCAGGACGTGTAACCAAGAAGTTGCCAGGATCGTCCGCGAGGGCTTCCCCGAGTATGCTGACAGATTGCCCGGGCCGGAGGTGCCTGGCGGAGAGCCCTCTGATGAGAACAAGTCGTTCAAGTATAACAACGACGCGACGTACAAGTTGCTGGGGATCGAGTGGATTCCTATTCAGAAGAGTGTATCTGACACTGTCCGTTCACTCAAGGCCTATGGCATCTAGATTGTCTTGCTAGATATTGTACGTGTATGAAAGAGTAGCGACGAAGAATTAACAAAATGAAACCTTTTGGATTAAAAACTTCAAAGTCGAAAAGACATATCTATCAATGTTGGAGCCTGTCATATGAAAAACCCCTTACCTCTTGTTTCCTCCTTTTAACCCCTATAGCACACACACCATGGATAATGCCACAGAATGCAGCCATTGTCTTGTCACTCAGACGCACTCACTCCTTCATCATGCTATTCAAGCCAAGTGGGCTCCTCACATGCCTCACCCTCCTCGGAGACTGTACTGGCACATCCACGGACCTCCCAGCACCACCTTGGCCACTCTCCTCCCCTGGCCTCTGAGAGCCGTTGTTTTCCTCACTCGTACGAATAGATGGGCTAGTCATAGTCGGGAAACTCGGGGATCCTCGCCGGCTCCCGGGCGTGGCCAGGGGCGATTTGAAAGGGCTCACCCGGCCGTCGGCAGGAAGACTTGGAAGCGCACGTGTAGGCGGTGGCCCAGGACTGGCCAGACCACGAATCATCGGCGGTGTTTCATATACTCGTGGCGGCGGCCTGGGGAGATCAGTGGCGGTGGCACCGCTGTATCTGATCTGTGCCGAGTCAGTAGATGTGTTGGACGTGGCCCGCAGGGTGCTTGCGCTGCTGAAGATGCTCGAAACGCTCGCGGCTGGGGCAACGTCGTCCCTAGGGGGCCTGTTGACTTGTGTTATTTGCGAGATTGTCGTTGTTGCCGTTATGCCGCCGTGCTCAGACTCTTCCGAGTTCCATCTAGTTCTAGGGATGGAGAGAGGTGATAGGGGTGACAGCGGTGGCATGGGCGACAGTGGTACACCAACCCATTCCTGCGAGTCCTCGTCATTGTACTGACGGCGTTGGTTGTTGCGTCGAAGGCTCAGAGCTCTGGTCAGCAAGAAGCGCCGCTCTTGTAGTCGCGGAGGCGGCGTCAACGGACCACTCGGCGGTCCAGCATACGAGCTCGACGGCGAAATGAGCGGCGTAGGAGGAAGGCTGCTGGGCTTGATGGGGCGACTGATGCGCTTCTTGTTGCGTAACCGCGCCTTCAGCCTCAAATGCCATGCAATCAAGGCAAGGACGGCCAGGATCCCGACCATGACGGACACCCCGATGGTGACCTTTGTGCTAACGGGTACTGAGCTTTTGCCTCCAGTTCTGTGGCGAAGGGGCTTCGAGGTTTCCGTCGTCGTGATGAGATGAATCACAGGGGACGCTGAGGTAGCCACGCCGGGAGCTATCTCGGAGGCGGGAGGCGGGCTTATTTTGGTCGTGACGGTATGGAATCCCTCTACAAGAAATCCTGACGGAGTGGCAGAAGGGACTCCTGAGACTGATGATGTTGTAGGCTGTCGCTGTTGCCGACGGGCGTGTTCTTTTCCTTCGACGATGCTGCCTGAGCGAGCATGTGCTTGGCCTGACGATGCTAGACCGTAATCTTTTCTGCGTTCAACATCCTTAATGAGCGTGTCTTTGACATGTTGAATAGAAGATGTACACTACCTTTGACAAGAGCTCAAAAATCGACGGACGCTCACTAGAAGAACACTTAGTTATATAAACCTGCAATCTTTCAAAGGCCGACGCACAGTCTTGGTCAGCATCTCCTATGCTCTTCATCTTACACAGATGAGAGCCACAGTTGTAGAACATGGGAGGCCTTTCTCTTCCGTCTTGTAACAAATGAGAAAAAGTCTGACACATCACGTCCTCCTCCCGGTTGGATGCTAATGACCTCAAAAGGTGTGATTGGCAGTCTGCTGAACAATCAGGAACATTATGGTCATTCGGTAAAGCAAAGAGAATAGATTCGTGAATGTAGTTGGTTTCTTCCATGGCAATTCGTCGTTGAAGCTTTCCAATCTCTATACGCAAGTCTAAGTATTAACAGTTGGATACGAAACAAAAAGTCGTTCAATCGTTAATATTGTGTGAGAGTTGTTGACAAAGGTATAGCAAAACACTATACTAAATCATGTAAAAAGCGAGTGTAGATGCTACAGAAGCAACAAGTAAAAAAGACACAACTTCACGGTGTCAGGGTATTCATTGAAGGAAGGAATGTGCTGGGCGGGATGGATTGCGAGTATCAACACGGTCCATGACCTCGAGGGTCTCGGGCACCTACTATATATCATGTGCATGTCAACTACTCGGTACGAGAGGGAAACACAGGTGTGAGGATGGCCCGTGACCTCTTGGGTAAAGGACGTAAACGGCCTCAGCCTCCAAAAAGGAACGAGGAACAGTCAAGACCCTATGCAGGAGGGTCTCACACGGCTCTGCAGCATACCGCTCCCGATGAGGATTTCCTCGTATGGCCTTGGAGGAGCTCTGGCCAGCTCCCTTGAGAGACTGGAGAAGACCATTGCATCGTCAAGGCCCAATAGCCTCCATCAACCTCGGGGGCGGCCGAACACGAAGCCAGCAGCTAGTGGGATAGAAGCCTCGCAAAGGTCCTGGTGGAGACAACGTATCCGGGGCATCACAACCTGGTCGAGCTGTAGACTATTCAGCAGTAGCTCGCCTCCAACAATGTGTGGATTGTGGAACCATCCAAGTGCCGTAGCGGATGATGGCTTCCCGGTGGCTTTCCGGGTTCCCCTGTCGGCTCATGGCCTCGTGGAAGATCAGAACTTACTTTACATAGAGCAGTTGCAGATCTCAAAATACAAACGACGCCTGTGGGTGTCTGCCCCTGTTTTCGTGATTGCTCGTTGAATGAGGGTTCACTGTGGCAATTTCCTGAGCAAACATGCCAGCCACTTGACTCAGTGAGAGATCCAACGTCCCTTTTTCTTCGAGAATAGCGGCTCTAACACGCTCTGGGGCTGAAATCTTCATATCTCAGTTGTGTCCAATAGCATGATGCCAAGCTTGTACAACACGATTTCAGTTGACTCGGAGTACATTCTGCAGCTGGTAGCTGGTGTTGCTTCACAAATACGGTGACGCCAAGCGGAGGGGGATTCTCCAAGTGGCCAATGACCTCTCCCAGTTGACAAAAGAATGGTGTATGAGTTGAGCCGGTAGTCGGCACTCTATTGAGCATCCAAATCATCCAACTTTTCCCTTGCAAAAGTTGCCGCGAATAGCTTGCGTGGCGAGGTGCTATAAAGACGGAGGGAGAGCAAAAGACCAGATCGTGGCATGCAAGTTTCAACTGGAATCTTTGGAAATGGAAGCGAGGAAGAAGGACGCCGTTGGCCGTCGACGGTAGCACAATGCTGGAAACCTACCTATCTTGTCCCAAATCATTGTTTGTGATAAGCCCGCATTAGTTTGACAATCTCGGGGATAGACGAGATTGGCAAACAAGTGCGAAATACACTCGTTTGGCGTTTCTATTTGCTTGCATTTCCCAAGAAAATTGTAAGTGGCGTTGCTCATCCTGCAGCTATGATGTGCAGCGCGTCGTAATCCACGTAGGCTGATGAAGAATAATGCAAGTGAAATGCAGCCAAGGGAGTACCATTTGCGATAGTCAAAAGGAAAAAACCCAGGGTTACTGACCGGGGCAAAAGGGAAGCTCGATGCGCTCAACAGCGAGGAACCGTGGAACCAAGCAATGAACACAAACCATAGAAACGCCATTCCGCCCCTGCAGTCTGTAGCAGTAATTGGTCATTCTGCCTTGTCCAGCCATCGAGATAGAAACGGGGGCAGAGACACAAAATCGCTATGCAGGGGTGCCACCGCTCAAGCGGCTGAATCACATCCTGGAGAAGCCGAAGCTCGCAGGCTGGCCGCAAACAAGTTGCCCAAAGAGCTGACAGCCATACAGGACAAACTTTTCGTATTCATGTCGTCCGCACCTAGAAATGAAAGATGGGCGTTTGAGAACGCAGCTGATCAACGCCTCGCCGTTCTGCGAGGTAACCAGGCCGGAAGAGAAGGAGAGCAAGGAGGTAGCCATGACGTCTTTGCTTCAGAAGCCGACCATGGGATTCGCCTCTCTCTCTCTCTTTTCCTGTGAGTGTCCTTCTCTCTCCCCTTCTGGCGGAATCCAGCCCTAGAATCCCTCCCTGGCCCTCCTCCATGTCGTGGCTCAACCGAACAATGTATGGCGTCCGTATACAAAGGCTTGGCTTACGCGACCTCGCTGCAAGCCCATGCGCAAAGCCGCCACCACAGGGACACAATCACACTCCTCTAGCGGTGTGACAAAAGGGCAGAAGCAAAGAGAGAGAGAGAGAGAGAAAGGGCGCTGAGAGACCCGACGAAAGAGCGACGGTCTTCCAAAACGGCGTAGGCAATCGTGGCACAGCGTTTGGGCCTTGAGCGTTACGCCGACGCATGCGGAGTCGGTGTTTCGTTTGACCCCTGGAGGGCGCTGGTCAGCTGAATTCCAGGCAATGCAAATTGATTGGCACGGTAAAGGGAGCTTTTCTGTGGGTGGCTTTGGAGGTTCCAATCGCTTGAGATGGTGTTTTGGGCAAGTTTTGTGGAAGGGCTACCGGTTATCGGACCGTCGTTATCATGGCTCCTTGTACTTTGTATCTGCGCGCCAATATTTATAGTCCTACTGCTCTAGAGTTTATCGGATGCTGTATTCAAAAGGATGAAGGAGCTGAAAGAGGATTTATAGTAGATGAATTAAAAGCCTTGGTATTCATGCAGATTGCAATGCAGAGCAGATGGGGATAGGTAGCCAAGCAACTCATCGTAGTACCTGCAGGTATTTATAGATACGACACGGGGTCTCTTAGTAAAGACTCGATGTTCATCTTTGATTATTGATATTTCATAGTATTTATCAGTCATATTAGTAATTTACGAGAGAGTATAAGTACGTAAATGGTGGAATTCTTCAAATCGAATAATGGAGATGCCCTGGTGCAGGAATTGGACGAGTTCCGATGCGCATACTAGCATGTCTGTATACACACTGTTCAATAAGCCACACATGTTGTGATGCTCTCTCCTAGGCTCATCAACATCGTTTGATTCCCTCCCCAAAGATGGGAGCAACTGACTCAATCCTTGCGCACTTTTTACACCAACACTTGCAGATGCCTCGGTCTAATAAGTAGACATTGGTTAATACCATGGCCATCTAGATATATCAGAGCGCTGGCCCTTGCCGAATAATTCTTCCTTAGCAACTTATACCTCCAAAACAACAGAATACATCACCACTATTCATGAACAATGTCAAGCATCATTTACAAATTTCGTTCCTGGAGAAGCAGAAGCCCTTGTTCAACTTTGCGGGGGACCATCTCCACCAGCCTCCCCCCAAACAGTTCTAGCTCCCTCGGCGCGTCTTCCCTGTTGCTGAGCCTCGGCATCTAGGCCCATCTGCCCCGGATATAGAAATCTGGAGAGAAGCTCCAATCTGGGAGCAGGCATCGCCATGTAAGATTTTCGATAGACAAGTCATCTCATCTCATTCTCTCTCTTTTTCTACTCCCCTTGAAAATAGACCAACATCAGCCATTGCCCATCCATCCACCTCTTCAACACACACACAACCCGCCCATCATGTCCGACAAGTCAAAAGCCGAGAACCGCATCGAAGCTCTCACCTCCCAACTCCTCCCTCCCATCGCCAAAGTCGCCGCCGGCTCCAGCAAGCCCCGAGTCCAAGACAAAGTCGTCATCATCACCGGTAAATTACCACAAACTCCAGTCCCAAAAGAAAAGTTGAAGTGCTCATGCTCATTCTAACAAAGGCGCAAACTCTCCCCTTGGCATCGGCAGGGCCACCGCTCATCAGTACGCCGAGAGCGGTGCCCGGGCCATCTACATCTGTGACTTTGACGGCTCAAACCTCGAGGCTCACAAGAAGGAGATCAACCAGCTGCACCCCAATGTCGAGATTCACACGCGCCAGTTCGACGCCTCGGATGAGGCCAAGGTCAAGGCCGTCGTGGACGACGCAATGGAGCGGTACGGCCGCCTCGACGTCTTCTTCGCCAATGCCGGCATCACAGGCCCAAACGTCGTCTTCACTGACATTAGCGTTGAGGACTTCATGAACGTATACAAGGTCAACACTCTGAGGTCCGTCCCTTTCACATCAAGTCACGTCGCTCAAAACTCCATCAAACTGACCAAAGTCTTACAGCGCTTTCCTTGCTGCCAAATACGCCGCGCCAGCCATGACAAAAACGTCGCCCCAAAAGCCAGTCCCCGGCGGAAGCATCATCGGCGTCGCCTCCGTGGCCGGCCTCCGCTCCAACGCCGGCAGCACGCCCTACTCGGCCGCCAAAGCCGGCGTCGTCTCTCTCGCCCAGACAATGTCCTACCAGCTTGCGGGCTCTGGCGTCCGCGTCAACGCCGTCTGCCCCGGCATCATCGAGACGGGCATGACGGCGCCGGTGTACGAGGCTGCGCGCGCCCGGGGCACCGAGAAGAAGATTGGCCAGCTGAACCCGACGAAGCGCGGTGGGCGTGCGGATGAGGTTGCGCGCGTCGTCTTGTTCCTGGGCAGTGACGAGGCCAGCTACGTGAATGGACAGGCCTGGGCTGTGGATGGAGGATTGAGTGCTGGACATCCCTTTGTCCCAGGCAGGCTGGGCTAAGGGAAGGGAATCTGCATCTGTACGTCGAGTACGTGTAAATGATGTCGACACGAATAAAGAGTCTGTATATAATCATTCTGATGTCAAGCGCCTCCGTCTCCTCCGTCTATTCATTGGGTATCATTGCTTCCGCCAGCCTCCAAGGATGCAGACAGTTCTGCGATCCGCATCAAGGTGGCATCTTTCCACGCCTTGTACTCTGCTCTACGGCCTTCACTCAAGTAATTGTAATTTTCCTGGAACATGGTGTCCGCTCTCTGCTGCTGAACTTGCAACGCGTCCTCCTCATCTAGACCATCGGCTACATCGCCATCCAGCTGCATGCCCATGTTGATGACATCTGTAATGCCATGATACCAGTCGGCCTCCAGCCAGCCCTTGTCGCGGATTCTTGACGCTGCAGCATCAAAGTCGTTGTTGTTCACATCACTCCAGCCTTCCCAGAGGCTACCTGGCTCTACACCCTTGACCTCGACCTCTCGGCGAGCTCGATCTAGCTGGTCAATTATCTCAGCTCGAGTCGGCTCGTAGATTTCAGGTTGAAAGGCTTGCTCCGGGTCAATATCCCTCGCGCGCATGGCAACAAAGAATATGATGGCTGCACATAACGCAGTGGCGTTCTTCCATGACCATGCGTCTTTTGTTTTCCGTCCCCCAGAAATGAAGATGGACTCCATGCCTGCCAGCATTGACGGTGCCAGTTTCTTGTGCCCAGACCCAGCACACAAATGCCGGATGACGGGCTGAACCCATGGGTATATGTCTGATTCCTTGACGCTCGCGTGTCCCTGCCTGCCTGATTTGATTGGTGTTTTGGCATTTGGGCCCGTCTGTTTCCGGAACTGCGCGAGGCTGCTCTCTTTGCTGGGCTCGGGCCTTGAAGGAAGAGGGCGAGTTTGCGAGGACGGCGCGGAGCCGGCGTTGCGTGTTCTTCGTCCGCTGGCATATGTGTTGGGGAGGACATTTTCCAGATGCGTATACAAGCGCTTATACGCTCGCGGAGGAATTGGTGGCCGCGGTTCTATCGTCGGGAGGTCCAACGCAACCTTGAGCCTGCGGCAAGTACAATTGATCAATATCCATTCATTTGGTCTACCAGTCTGCCTGATCGGTATCCATTTACCTAGTGCAGGCAATGTGTGCACAGGCATAGAGACGGGCGATTTCCTCTTCTGCCTTGAGCGTGCTGGCTAGATGTCGGGATTGGGCGAGCAAGGAGCTGGCGGACTCGACGAGGCTGGCGGGCAGGTCGGAGCCATATGTCGGCATCAACGAGACGAGGGCGAGCTCGACTTGTTTGCTCATTGTGATGGCGATTTGCAATTGCGGTGATGCAGTTGGGAATGGAACTGGTTCACCCTCTTTGCTGGTCTTGAGAGTTGGATCGTGGATCAGGACGCGAGGCGGGGCAGATGGAAACGCGAGATCACGGGGTCCAAAGTGGAAGAGAGCACATTCAGTGCTAGATATGGAGATTGGTCTCGTTGATTTTCTGCTGTTGATTGGTTTGTCTTTGTGTTGTTCAAATAGATGACTTGAGTTGTTCAAATAGATGACTTGACAAAGATTTAAGAATACTGCATCTAGTACGAGTAGAATAAATTACACATAGAGAGCCTCAACTAGCTGTGAAGGGCATCTGTTTTGATATCAACATCTGGGAGCCCAAATCTAGAACGTGGAAGCTTAGCACCGGCAGCTCTAGCGGATGCTTCCCCTTGCATCGGCGCCCTCAATGCCTTTTTGGCGCCCCCGCCTCTCAATGTCACTTGTCCGTTAGCGATTCCACGGCGCCGGCATGTGGCCTGGACTCAGTTGATACAAGTGCTCGGAGCTCAATACTAGCGAGCGCCGGTGGCCACCTCTCATCTCGACGCCTCGCCACGACGCCCATTGCATCGCATCCTGTCGCCTTCTATCCGGGCCTGTCCTTTTCCCGCCAATTCGCCTGCTAGTTGCTTCTTCTCTTCCGCGCAACACAATGCGAGCGTTCCTCCTCTGTTCCGCCGTCGCGGGCCTGGCCATTGCCCACGGCTCCCACTCCCAGAAGCCCATTGTCGATGCGAATGCCAACTGGATGACGAAACACATGGCCGGTGAGCCTCAAACATACGTAGTCACTCCCATGCCATCGTTATGATTTCTAACATGGTAATAACCCGCAGAGGAGCACCACGTTGACGGCTGGGACGCCGCCTCCTTCTTCACCCTCCACGACTACGACAGCGACGGCTACTGGAAAGGCGAAGAGCTCCTCCGCACGTACGGCCTCATGGACGAGTCCAACAAGCACGTTTCTTGGGAGCGCCGCGACGAGATCCTGCGCGGGCTGCTCGCCCTCCTTGATCTGAACCGTGACGGCATCGTCAGCCGCGACGAGTGGACCGACTTTACGGCTCAGGGCAAGACGCTGCCGGACATGAACACCGGCCCGGGCCACCACGGCGACGACGAATACGAGTATGAGATTCACCATTGGGAGAAGTACCATGACGAAAACTCCAAGTTGGAGGACTTGAACCACCCGGAGGATATCGAGCACTTTAAGAAGCACGAGCAGATGGAGGAGGAGGAGGAGAGGCAAGAGAAGCTAGACCAGATGTCCATTGTGGTGGAGAACATTCCCAAGAAGTTTCTAAGGGATCTCTAAAGGGGGGGGGGGGGGAGTGTCATGATTTGAGAGAGAGATTGGAGAGATATTTTGCGAAGATGTAAGAAAGCGACGGCGCAATTGGAAACTAACACGAGGGACGATACACGCCATGATTCTCAAAGTTTTTGATGTACACATATTTGCTTCATGTACCATTATTAGATACACCACCGCCTGTAATACACACGTCAAAGACGCAATGCCACACCCCCGGCGCAAACGTCTTGACCTGCTCGACATGCTCAACGCTCGGCACCCTCGAGCCTCCCCCCGAAGCCGCAGCCGCAGCCGCAGCCCACGTCGCAAAAGTCGTCTGGATCACCGCTCGCCGAGACTCGATGTCCGCCACGCCGACGTTGTCGTGCAAATGCAGCCGTGCCTCGGGCGCCAGCCGCGTGATTTCCCAAGCGCTCTCCCATACGGGTTCGCTGGTAGGCAAGAAGCCGCAGTTGACGTGCGCAATGTTGCTCGCAAGCCCGGCGCCTTGCGCCTCGGCGATGCGTTCCGACGCCCTCTCGTTGCTCTCCAAGAAGACGACGATCCTGTCTCCTCCCGCGAGCAGCGTCTCCATCGGCAGCGCCAGGTGCTCGCCCCGAACGACTTTGACGCTCCATTTGTTTGCTTCGGCACCTCGCCGAAGGCCCTCGACGCTCCACGGATTGATCTCCCAACAAAGAACCCTCATCCCCAGCGCCGCATACGAAAACACAAAGTATCCGATCCCAGCATACAAGTCCACTGCCCATCCGCCCTCTCGTCCAGCCGGAGCAAGTTTGAATCCCAGCACCCTCGCCTTCTCCTTGACATTCCCCCGTGAAAACATGGTCCATCTGGGAGCCCACGTCTGCAGTATCCCGTTCTGCTTCGTCCCAACCCAAAAAGCACCGTCGAAATCACCGCTGTGAGGCTGCTCATCCACTTCCGCCGACCCAAAGTCCCCAAACAGCATCCTGAGCCCACTTGGACTTCTTCGCACGTTCTCGGCATCCTCCCCGTCCTTGTGCAGCGGGATACCCTCGTTCACTGCCAGATGCGTCACCTTGCCTTGTCCAGTCTTGGAAATCTCCTTTAGAATAGACCGCCATAGAGAGCTGCAGGCTGGTTCATCGCAGGTTTGTAAGACAGAGGCCCATGTTTCGCTGGTGAAGCTTCCTGTTGGCAGCAGGGCGAGCGGCTCATAGATGGTGAAGCGCTTCGGCGCCGTGTTCAAGAGATTCTCATTCCGCGAATCTTGGGTTTCAGATTTAGTAGAAGGAAGTGTCGCTGCGATCCAACTCTGTACTGCGGCTATAATGGGGTTGATTTGACGGGGCTTGGGTTTGCTGTGTCGACTTTTGTGGCCCAATTGCTGAGTCGCCATTGAGCCGGATTTTTTGTAAGCTCTTCAGATCGACAACCAAAATAGTATTACAATTTATACCGAGGATTTCGTTTCTTCTGTCGCCTCTTGTGTTTATTCGGCACGTCAATGTCGGTCGCTCTCGTGGAGAAGGAAAAAAAAAGAGAGAAAAGTTACATGAGAAGAAGAAGTTGAGTTTTCCACAGCTTAGATTCCACTTTAGGTAGATAATAATGGATGCTATGAGAGTACGAACACCACCAAATCATGAATGGCCAGATGCCGTTTGTTTTACCACCAATGCAAAGGGAACCGCGATAAAAGAAGGCGTCGTTTATCAATCTTTCTTCTAAATGGATATTATCACCGCTGTTCGTTTCCGCTACCCAGAGTCCCCCAATCCTACCCATAATCCTAATGCATTGTCGATTCTTCAAAGTCATGGATATCTCAACCCGTAATGCTACCTAGTTTACATGCAAAAACCCAACCCAACTCGACCCAATCTAAAATGGCCCCGTCCCCATCTTCTTCACCCTTCTTCACCCTTCTAATCACAAGAAGTAGTCGCCCGGCGATCTACGGCTTGCAGGTACATGCCGCTGCTCATCGGGAACCGCAGAAAATATGCTAAACTTGGGAGCCAGGTCGTTGTCCACTGTCATTATTGACGCGACGTTGCCGCATCGGTAGCAGTAGTTGGGAGCCGACCAGACTGTTACGACTGAACTTTCGTCAAAATGATACTGGGTTGTCAAGCATTAGCTACCTCGTTGGACACCACAAGGCTTTTTAGGTGTGAGAAGAGAGAAAAGAGCCAACTCACTTTGTAACCTTCATTCACAAGTTGATGTGCCCGCGCAATCAATTTTAGGCCGTTTACGTGGTTAAACTCGTTAGCCACTTTATCTCCAAACAGCCAACCGGCCCCTCGCGGGCTCACAGCCCATGTATCTATGTCGTCGGGGTCTGACCATACGAGGTCGCAAAAGGCGCCTTCATGAGGAATTTCTTGAGCACGGGCAACGACCCGGATCTGATCAATAGTCCGAATCTCGGGACTCAAGCCACCGTGGACGCAGAGCAGCTCTCCGTCAACTATAGCAGCGAGAACAAGGAAATCAAAGACATGACAGCATGCCTTCCATACGGACGCGTTGCCGTATTTCTGCTGGCATTCTTCGTAGAAGCCGTAGACTTGTGTGATTTGACGAGATTCGTGGTTTCCTCTGACGAGAACAATGCGGTCTGGGTATCTAGATGTATGGCGTCAGCGCGATTTGCATCTCGCAGATGAAATGCAGAAAATGATGAATGAAGAAAAGGGCCCATCTCGCAATGAGGGACAAGATAAAAAGAGCCCCGAATACCACAGAAACAACATACTTTGCCTTCAAGCACATGAGCAATGTAAACGCCTCCAAGCTAAAGTATCCTCTATCGACGTAGTCTCCAAGAAAGACAAAGCGAGTCTCCGCGCTCTGCGAAGACGTGACTGTATTCACCGCGGGCACGTCGACTGCTCCCTGCTGCTCTTCCTCCCCGTCCTCGTCGCCTTCGGCATCGCCCGAATCGCCCCCGCCTCCGGGAGACTTTAGCTTCTTCCGCAGCTTCGGGTTTGTGATTTCGGTCGGGGGCTCGATGTCCTCCGAGGTGATGACTGCGGTTGCTGACTTGGGCGCCTGGACGTTTGTCTCTCCCGGCATGCCACCGGCGACGCGGAAGAGCTCGAGCAGGTCGTAGAACTGGCCGTGGATGTCGCCGCAGACGGTGACGGGCGTGCAGACGGGCTGGATGTTGGACTCTGCGAGACTCGTAGCATTAGCGACTGCATGACTTCATGCTTTTTTTTTCTTCTCCGTGCGCTCATACCCTCCATCAAGATCTCCTTGACCTTTTCACACAGCTCCTTCATGGCCCTCTCGGGCAGATAGTGGCACTGCTTGGCCTCCTCCAGCCACTCGTCCAGCCCAGCATTGGGGCCCAGATTGGCGGGCCCGGGTCGAGGAACACTTGTCGTCATCTTGGCGACTGCAGTCTGGCAACGGCGCAACGGCTAGGTTGTGTCAGCCCGACACGATGCCAAAGTCAAGGGATGGGGTTTTGGCTGAATGATGGTTTATCAGCGGCCCAAGATGACGCTCGAGTTTGTGGTGGGGGTTTTTGGCTGGCTGGCTGGCTGGCTTATGGAGGTTGATGTCTGGTGCTGTTTCAGGGCGCCAGGGGCTTGCGCTTCAGTGAGGCCCAGCGCCGGATCTTCCTCGGAGGGGCCTGTGCGCTCGCTGGAAGTGACTGGCCGTGCGGCGCTGTTAGAGATCAAGTAGCCCTGGATTGATCTGGTTCAAGTGGGCTCTCATTGGCACGGCATCGTATCAAAGCAGCGTCCGACTGCAGGAGTGTGCATACGAAGTACATACATGTCTCGTACAAGTCACGGTCTTGCAGGATAAGGTACATACTTGGCCACCTGGCTTTTCTCGTATTACTTGTAGTACCAAGTCTTTGTATTCACATTGCTGGCTCTGATCAATTGTTGTACTGCTTGTACTCCATAGCGATACAAATAACAGCCAGCACATTCCATCAACCATCAAATCGCATCTCTCATCCTCGCAACGGCGGCACGTGACTGCTCCATACTCTCGCCACGGAAAAGTCTCGACCCAAGCGGCGCTCACTAACTCCGATTTTGATTTCTATGAGATGATACCGTCCTTGCAGGCCTTTGCCTTTTCTTTGCCTTTGCCCTTGTTCAACCTTGCAGTTTATTACGAATGCGAAGCCGTTAAATAGTGGACCCGCGGTTTCTCATATAACGAAAGGCCGCGACTCGTTTCACTTCACGATATCTGATCTGTTGATCTCGGTCTCAAAGCCGCCGGCCAGACACACAAACTCGGTTGATGCTTGACGTAGCGTCTCCAAATCCCTCCGACATGCGCAATGTCGACTCAAGCACCGCAGGTCCTGTCTCGCAGGACGAACGCTCTGGCATCTGAGTCTGCCAAGGTGAGACGAGAAGAAGCGATGCCCTGTCCGGGATCCAACTTGAACTGAGCTGATGCCCTTGCTCAGAGTAAAGCCACTGCCGACGGCGCGTCTCGCCCTGGTAAGAAGGGTTCGGCTGAGAAGCACGCTGAGGCCCGGAGCACCAACGACGCGGACACGCCAAAGGCCGCAAAGACCAGGACCCCTCATGAAGGCGAAAAGGTCATCATCCGACGGCTGCCTCCTGGTATGACCGAGGCCGAATGCGTCTCTATTCTAGGTTCTGATTGGGTGGTGGGCAATGGCAAGGTCGACTGGTTTTCATACGCCCCTGGCAAGGTGTCTAACGAGTATGTCTTTTAAGCTACCAGGTCCCTTTGTTGTCTCTTTCTTTGACGCACTGACATTGGCAACATCAAGGCTCTCAAAGCCATCCCGCCCTGCTAGAGCATACATCCATGTGATGCGCAAGGACTACATCATGCCGTTAAGCGACGTTGTTCGAAGTGCGACCTGGGAAGACGCCAAGTGTACCTTTAACAGCGCTTCTCTCATCGGGCCACCAGCCCTGGAGATGTCCATCTACAAAAAGGTGCCAGGGACTAAGAAGCGTGTAGATGCTCGTCAAGGAACCATTGACCAAGACCCGGAATTCATGGCGTTTCTTGAAGGTCTCGCGAACCCTGCTCCCCCAAGGGAAGGCATCGAGACCGAGGACGTTGAGGAAGCACAAGAAGCCAAGGTCACTACCACGCCATTGATTGAGTATCTGAAGGAGAAGAAGGCAAACAAAGCCAAGGAAGCTGCCGCTGCCAAGAGCGCGAAGCACTCCAGACAAGAGACCACAACATCCAAGGGCAAATCCTCCTCTAAGGAGGATGAGAGCTCCAAGAAGAGGGGCAAGGATTCCAAGAGCTCCAAGGCTGACAAGTCGGCCCCTAAGGAGCCCGTCAAGATCCTCACCAAGAAAGCTGCTGCAGCTACCTCTGAGAAATCTGCCGAAGCCGCCAAACCGGCCGCAAGCCAGACCAGCACGAGCGGCAATGCTAGTAGCACCACCGAAGCGCCAACTCCCAAGAGCCGCCGTGCCGGTGTCTCCATTGCCGCCCGTATGCTTCAAAGGGATCTTGGCCTTAGTCCAGGTAGTGCCTATCGACGAGCCCGACAAGATGCTGCAAAGGCCGAAGCCGGCTCCAAATCCTCGACAACCGACAAAGAAAACAAAGAAGCTTCTAGCGCGGCAAACGAGAGCCAACCCTCTCCCGCACCATCTTCAGCCGAAACGGCGACGCATGCTCAGACGCCCGCCAAGGACAACGCTTCCAAGGCACAGCAGTCAACACGCAAGGCCCGTGGCGGTAAGAACGCCGACAAGGCCAAGCCATCGGAGGCATCCGGAGGACAGAACGCAACCGCAACTGCACCTGTCATTCTCAAAAAGAAGAACGCCGCCAGTGGTGACGCAGATACATCAAAGCCCACTGCTGAGACGGCCCCCAAGTCTGCTGCCGGCGCGGCAAACGGCCCCAAGAGTGCTTCCGCCAAATCTTCAGGCTCTCAAAAGAAATCTGCGGCGGCTGCATCCGCCAACGCCACCCGTGGCTTCGTAAAGCACGCCAACTCTTCGCAGGGCATCACGGAGCCCGTGTTGAAGCAAGCCCTCGAGGTGTTTGGCACCATTACGTTCATCGAGGTGGATAAGCGCAAGGGCTTTGCGTATGTCGACTTCGCAGACCACGCCAGCCTCGCCAAGGCCATCTCGGCCAGCCCCATTCCCGTCGCGCAAGGAACCGTCCAGGTCTTGGAGCGCAAGGATAAGAAACCTGCCGCTCCTGCGTCGGGAAGTGGCAATGCCGCCGCCGCCGCCGCCCCGTCTTCATCCAACACGGCTAGCAACGGCGCGGCCCCTGAAAAGAATTCGAACAGTGGACGTGGAAGACGTGGAAGGGGTGGCAAGGCGGCCGCTGCTACCAACGGCACTCCCATTGCCGCAACGAGCGGTGGCTGAGCGATTTGCTCTCTTTTGTCAAACCTCCCGACGCCTTTTCCTTATCATTCCGGTTAAAAAAAAAGTAGTCACGGCGGGCCTAATCAGCTCGGCAGGATGCAATCCCAGATCGCAGCATTCTCGCTCTGGGCTCCGCTAGATGACCTTTTTTTTTTCTTCTTCGCGGAAAGGGAAATGGCTAGCGTCCAAGCGAATACACAAAAGAAAGCGGCTCCATCTCTACGCCTTGCGCTAGACGATGTCATACACCTAGCATTATTGTCAGAAACCAAGGATGCGTTACCCGGGGGCCAATCGCAAGGGTCATCAGTAGACCCGACGACCAGAACAGAACATCATCCATTGTCTGCCGTGCATAGCTGGATCCTTGGCATTGCACAAAGAAATCCTTCATGGTGTGACCTGGTGTTTTGACTCAAGGCGATATATGTATCTGTCTGTACCATGGGGGGGAAAGGGATGGTGCGTAAGGAGATGGACCGGGATCGCATGCAAGGGGAATGGCCGTTAGCCAGCTGCGAGGCTATATCTATACTGTAGTTGAATGCCGCTTCTAGCAGCGAATAAAACAGACACTTTTAGGATAATCGATGTTCATTCTCTGATGCTCGGTTTCAAATGCTCACTGTCCCTCGTTGAATGTCAAACATGACAATATCGAACCATGATTCCAAGTGATATCAGTCACATCACAGCATCAACCTTCAAGGCTACCAGGAATCCATATCATAAAGGACAAAAAAAAAACTATCTTCACCCGCAAGGGATCATCCACGTATATCTATAACTAAGAACAAAAAGGCAACGAGGTAGAAAGGCAAATCGTGAACATGACCATGACAACATCCACAAACATAATGGTAAACATCCAAAGAAAAGAAGGGGAAAGGAAAAAAAGAAAAGCTAAACAAGGGGAATAGATAAACATAAAAGAAGAGAAGAACAAGAAAGAAAAGAAAAGAAAAGAAAAGGGGAAATAGTCGGAAAACAAAACCCCCCGTCTTCCGTCTATCTCATAACATGGCTAATACCGTTACAACATAATCGTAGAAACCCAGCGTACATCTATCCAAAGCAAAACAAAATAAAAGACGACCGCCAACAGAAACCCCGCCGCAACTGCCTCGCCCTCCGAAACGATTCGCCGTATCCTAGCCTTCAAGTCGCCCACCCAAAGCCTCTGTCCGGCCTCACGCCGCGCTGCTCTCAACCCGGGAAGACCATCCAGACTGCTGCAGTTTTTCTCCATCTGGTAGCTCAGCGTCTTGTTGTGCTGGACCTGGTTCGCAGCATAGCTATCCAAGTTGGGGCGCTGTTCAAAGACGGAAAGCTCGGTGAGCTTCTCGTCATCTCCAAATCCTTCCCGAAGGATGTCTTCAACAGCCTTTGCGACACCGGGGTTGCCGGCATCGTCCTGGCTCTCGGGGCTGTAAAGTCCCTTCTTCACCCGCGGGACACCAAAGCCACAGCTGGTCTGGGCTTGCCAAATATCGCAAAGAATGACGGCACGAGCACCGTCAAAGGCATCTCGTTTCCCCTTGGCGACCTTGCGAACGAGGGCAGGGAACGCCGGCTGATCCCACTCGACAACGGTGGCGCGACAAAAGAGTCGCATGATACGCGGCGAAGGGCCAAAACTCATAAACATGAGACAAAGACGTCCGTTTTCGTACGCATGTGAAATTGTTTCGCACCCAGATCCTGTGCGGTCGATGTATGCGCATTGATTGGGGCCAAGGACGGCAAAGTGCGCATCCAGGCCTTTGGGAGAGACGTTGACGTGACGGCCATGGGTAGAAGCCGAGCCGGTGAAGAAGACGGGCTGTAGCTCCGCCCAACGAGCCAGGTCGTCTGAGAGAGAAGGGGAAAGCTTCATATCGGGAAAAAAAATGTTGATATACTTTCGAGTCAGGTGTAGTGGAAAATACACCACGACTTACAAACGAGCTCAATAATGGGTCAAGAGAGTAATAAATGGGAGGAGGAAGACAGTAAGCCAAGGGTGAGGCGGTCAGAAAATAGAGGTGGTGATCAGAAAATAAAAATGACAGCCAGAGAAGATTGTCAAGAAAAAAGGAGGACAACGGGTAGTAGAAAAAACAAAAGAAGCAGGAAACCCCGGGTCATCTCGTCGGTTGCATTTTCAATTTACTGTTGACAGCGATGCGTCATTCCAAGGCTGCAGTCAACAAAAAATGGCTACAAGCAGCGTAGTGCGACGAAATAGCCGGGTGGGTAATAAAACAAAGCGGAGGCATTGGTCCAGATCCATCGTCCAGGGCCGAGAGCGGCAGAGAGCCGGGTTGAGATCCGCAGAAAGCCCCGGGGCGGTATCGGAGAAGTGGAACCAGGGCCGTAAGAAAGTCAGGTTCAGACCATTGAGTTTGACCGAGTTCGATGCCAAAGGCCAATGGAATATGATGGGAAGAGAAACAGCCCAATTGGGCATCAAGACGAAGGTGTAGATGAATCAAAAGCAAATCAAACCACTCAACCAAAGGGCAACTAGCCCCCCCTCGGTGCAGCAGCAGCCCACAGGCATGCATACTGCCCAACTGAGCAACCAATGTGTGTTTTTTTTTTTGTTTTTTTTTTTTTGTTTTCTTTTTTTTTTTCGGAAGGGCATCCACATGGAGAGAGACATTGAGTCATTTCCCCGCAGTGTCGATGTCGCTTCGAGACGATCAAGTCGACCTCTATCGGCTGATTGGGTAGGCATGGTAATTGCCATCCTCGTAGCTCCCGTCGTCGTCGAACACAGCGGCTGTGCTTCCAGCAACGCTGTAGATACGAGGAGTCATTGGGTTTGTCGCAGTCCGGGGAACGCTGGCATACGGTGGCTTGTTGATGGGTGTGACAGCGGGCACTTGCACGTGTCCAATATGGCCATTGTGTCCGTTGAGTCCATGAGGGCCATGGGGGCCATGTATTCCGTTGGGTCCGTTGGGTCCGTTGGTGTAACTCCGAGTGGATGATCCCGAGGCCGAGGATGACCGGCCACCGGGGCCCCAGCCCTCAATGAAGCTGTTGCGCCGGTTGGCAATCGGGGGAGGCGGAGGCGCTGGGGCGGGAGCGGGCGGGGCCGCACGCCTCTCTTCAAAGCGGCGAGACAGGCGTTCCTTTTCGGCCTTGCGCTCCCCCTTCTCCTTTTCCTTGTCCTTTTCTTTATCCTTTTCCTTTTCCCGCTCCCGCTTGTCTTCCTTGTCATGATCGCGCGACTTCTCCTTTTCTCGGACGCGACTACGTTCCTCGCGATCACGATCCTCCTTGCGCTCCTTCTTGCTGGAGGAGCGGGAGAGCTTGGGACGCTCCGGCGCCGCCCCAGACAGGTCGTTGGCGGCGCCAGAGGGGAAGACGGGAGCAGTGCCACTCAGGGCATTGTACTGGCGGGAAAGGTTGCTAAACTTGGCCTTGAGTTCATTATAGTCCCGTGACAGCACGTTGTTTTCGTAGATGAGCCTGTCATTCTCCTCCTTGACATGGTCCTGCTTCTCCTGGAGAGAGGCAATGCTGTCCTTGAAAGCCTGGTTCTGGCTCTTGAGAGCGGTAATGCTGTCCTTGAAGGTCTGGTTCTGGGACTTGAATTCGGCGGCAGTAGCCGTTGTCTCAGCGAGTTTCTTGTTGGCCTGTTCCAGTAAGCTGAGGTATCGGTCCCTTTCTGAGTTAGTCTTGTTCAGCTCGGTGTGAGCGGTGTTGAGGGAGTCGAGAAGGCGCTGCTCGTAGTCGGAGATGACTGCAAGGGAGAGTGAGCAAACGGCATCCATCAAATCAAAGCTGACCATCCACGAGGGGAGAATTATGGGTAGAACGTACCAAAAGGCGCTGAATGCGCCGAGTGCGACACCGACGCCCTGCGCCCCGAATTGGCGGATACTCGCTGGTGCAGAGACATGGCTGGTGATGCGATAAACGCAGGATGATTATGGTTTTTTTTTTAATATTTTTTCTGTCCCTTTTTTTTTTCAGGAGACGAAAATTGATTCGACTGTCGACCCAATGGTAGTGGGATGCGACGCTGCCCAACCCAACGCTTGTTACGGCAGGGGTGGGAAAATGCAGGCGAAAGCAGCCGAGGTAGCAAAAGCCCTTTTTTCACCCAAGGATCATTCGTCAACCCAAGCGCGCTATGCACCGGACGCTGTGGATTATGCAGGTGGAAGGCAGAAATGTGTCTCCAAACGCAAAAATGTTCATGTGCGTCTGCGAGATCCGCACACTCGATCTGTAGATGGGTCGTGTGTCGGCGTGCAAGGGACAAGGATGAGACGAGAACGTCAGGTTTGAGATGCTGTAGATGAAGTCGCTTGAAGAAGAAGACGAAGACGAAGATGAAGATGCGAAGATGTGAAGAAGAGAAAAATGTGAATGTGAAAGAGGGAAGAGGGCAAGAAGAAAAACTTTTTTTTTTTCTCCTTCCTCTGCAGCCCCCGGCAGAATGCGGAACAAAGTGGTATTATTTCGAGGTCAGATAGAAGGCCCGTTCACACACACTTCATGCACACGCACGCACGCAGGATGGATATCATGTATGTAATATCAAGTAAGAGTGAGATGAGAAAAATAGAATCAAATCAGGGGGAGGTTGGCAGTAATAAGAGAAAGAGACAGAGAAGAAAAAAAAAGTAATGGCCGAAGAGGGAGAGGAAGAGGGAGTCGGTGACCAGATTCCTGCCTTGGGCGACTCGATGGGCGAAGCCGTTGGGATTTTGCTGAGACGAGAGACGAGAGACCAGACCAGACCAGACAAGGGTCAGGACAGGACAGCGAGACGACAATCAATCAATCAGTGGTGAAGCCGCCAGGCCAGGGAAAAAGGAGGTGTGGCGCCATGGAATTCGCAAGTCAGCAAATGCATTGGCCGCGAGTATCTGGTACTTGCGCCGCGAAGGTGAGAGAGTCATGGTCATCCATCAATGCACCCAGCCAATCTCTTGCACCAGCACCATTCATCACCTCTTTGTCCTGGCTCGTGTATCTGCTACAACGCCAAGGATCCATCGGCTCTGGCAAATCGTCGTCTCGAGCCCGCCATTGGCTGCTGTGGCGGTGCTTTGTCAAGGCATCCAGGCGCTGCCTCCGACTTTACAGCCCCCATGCGCTTCCCATGCGCTTCCCATGGCCCTCCCGTGGTGTTGCGCGCCCAAAGGGACTGGAAGCTTCACCACCGGCCGCTTTGGGACGCTGCAGCCTGCCGCCGGAGACTTGCGTGGCCATGGGGGAAGCGAATCGAAATCCAAGACGGTGACTCACCAGGACTTTGATGCTTTACGAAAGGGGGGGGGGTGTGGTGTGGGAGAATGGAGGTTTGTAGATACAGTAAGCTGCGTGCGTGCGTGCGTGAGTGATGTGATGCGGCGCAGAATCACGAGGGAAGCAGCAGAAGATGGAGGAACGAAAGAAGCGGTTGGATTGTCCTTGTCCGGTTCTCTGCCTGTTCTCTGCCTCTGTCTCTGTCTCTGTCTTTGGTGTTTCAACCAACCCGTTCGTTGGTTTAGGCAGAGCTGGCTGGGTGCCCAGTTATGGATCCCGTTCCCATCAACTTGTGATGTTCGTGACGACAGTGTCCTTCTTCTTCTTCTTCTTCTTCTTCTTCTTCTTCTTCTTCTCCTTCTTCTTCTTCTCCTTCTTCTTCTTCTCCTTCTTCTTCTTCCTGCTACTGCCAGCCAGCCAACCAGCCAGAATCCGCGAAAAGTGCCGACGCGTCTCTCGTCTCCATCCGGCTCGGCTCGAGGCTGCGCTGCATCCACGGATCCCTCCGTCCATGCGATTCCATTCCGTTCCGCTGCAATCTCTCTTGGTGGTGTCCCTCGGGCGCCTCCTAGTGGTGTTCCTGTTCTGCCCGCATCCCACGGCTAAAGACGCACATGTAAGGCCAGATTGGCAGCGCAAATCGAAATCGGGTCCCGACAGATGCACGGGCTGCTGCAGAAATCGGCGCTTTTTTTTTCTCTTTTTTTTTCTTTTTAATTTTCCTGCTTTTTGCTAGGTTGTGAGAGTGTCACAACAGCTACATGCAGTCGGGGTACATACATACAATGTACACCCGCATTTCTACACGATCGCATACAGTACTACCTAGTACTAAGGTATATCGTCACAGGTTTTCAGACACAGACATGTTCAAGCGAGGAAACCAGAATTATTTCTATTTCACGTCACATTTACTTTTCCCCCATCATGCATCTAATCTAGTCTGTTGGATTAGTACCTACCTATAGTAGGCTCCTGCTAGTCGCAAGGCATACACCAACTCGCCAAGGAGTGCATGTAAAAGAGACTCGTCGATCTTGTAGGCATCCATCGGTCCGTGGCGGGGCTACATGTACATACACAAGAACGACAAGTCCCCGGACTCAACAGCTTAGGTAGGTACTTTGCAGAGGCTCCCGCATTATCGACGCCTCTCATTCAGTCCGTATCTCTTCATTTTCCCAAGACACCGAAAAGCCACGAAACAAAAGCCCTTTATCAAAATACACAGCTATAGGATACCGGCTTAGCCAACCGGTCCTCGCCCACTGCCGCCTTTCGGACCTGTCAAACATCTGCTTAGGTATAACATGGAGCTTGTGTGTTTGTAAGCCGTCCGGCAGGTCTCACAAAAGAAGCAATAAAGGTTACTCCAAACATTAATCGTAATAGGATCCCATCAAAAGCTAGGCCAGCACACTGATTCAAACAAACTCGAAAGGGCTTCATGTTTTCTTACCCGGTTTGGAACATGTTTCTACCATTTTGTCTAGTAATCTCGAGCTGACAGTCGTCTAATCGCATGCTACCCGCTTCTGTGCCTGAGGCTTGACGGGGAAACCCGAGCCAGAGACATCTACAGGATGAACTCAGGATGCGGGGATGGCAAGTGGAAAGACATTGTCCCTCAACGTCTGGAAGGTGGTGTGTTGATCCTTTTCAATAGATATAAACTGAACTATCACGAAGCAGACATCGACTTGTCTCACTCAAATTGTGCTTACCCTCGCAAAAGCCACATCACAGATGACATCTCCCACACTTTCAAAATCACCACATCATTGCGTTACCAACCCCAATAAATCCAACCACCTGTCAAAAAAAAAAAAAAACACCCTCCCACCAAAAAGCGTGGCAAAAAACAAAAAATAAATTGCTGTCCGATCCCTTTGTCCCACCAGCCACATCGTCACCACAGCTCCAAAAAAAATAAAATACGCCCAACCGCAAGTCCTTAAATAAACGCCTAAACGAACCACATCCAGCAAACGAGGGGCGTATAAGGCAGCCATCAACATCAACACTCCATACACCCCATTAACAAACCTCGTACCTTCAGTAAATGTTACCCAAAACCTCTTTCTTCTCACCGTGAAAAAAAAATTTCATTTCATCCATCCAACAAGCTCACCGAAAATTCCCGCCTGAAAGTGGAGATTCCTTCGTCATCACTCACACGCAAAAACTTTTTTTTTTTATTTTTTTCCTCCTTCGTCACGGCCATTTGCATCCATCTCCTCTGCGTTGTCAAGTTTTGCCCCTCTCACGGATACCGACTTTTTTTTTCCTTCCCAACAACACAACTACCCAAAAACCAACGGTCCCGAATAAACTAAAACAAGACGAGGCGTATTCACGTAAAACGTCGTGTTCTAAAGACTTGGAATAGGGAATACGCGAATGCCCGCTTCGTTGCGGTGATGAAAACCCAACAGCCCTACTTTTTTAGAGCATCTATGTCGGTCTAGATAACAGTACATGGGACTTTGCTCATGCAACTCTCCTCTGTCGATGTCTTTTGCAGAAATATTTGCCTTTTTCAGTTTCTTCAGACTCCATTTTACAATCTGCACACAAAAAAATGCTTATATTCTACACAAAGAGTATCGCGTGATGACGTAGCTGATGCCATACCCTATAATATATATATTTTTACCAGGGCAACCGTCCACATGACGCCTTTATGAGTGGTCTGAGACCAAAAGCCATTCGAATACATCACGAGGTAGACGGCGCTGATTGGTAGCATTTTATTCTTATCTCCTACAAAGGAAAAAAAAAAAGTTTCAAGTCGTATTCAACACTGTTGGTATTCTAAATAGAATAAATAGTTCTGATGTCGAAGAGAAAAGATAAATCAAGAAACGTCAAATAGTAAACCGATAGTCATCAAATAACAGACCCATAATCATCAAAACCCATCATAAGCAAGAAATAGCCATAAATACCAAAGAGACACATGAGACGTTATACCATGTCCAATACCCAATCCATCCATAAATAAGTAGGTATACAAAAGAGAATAAAATGCCCAAGTTAGGAGCGCTGTTCCATCTATAAGCAAAAACAAACAGTCAGTTTAACCCTTCTATCCCACATATAGTCGATATCCCGCACATACCAATAAAAAAAAGCAAAGTAATACAATCACAACGATTTCTCCCGTCAATCTGTCATAGAGGCAGTCGTGTAAATGACTTGTCAAAGCTCCACAGATGGGAAAAGTTCAAGGAGAGTAGACGTGGTAGAAGATGAATGAGAATGAAAAAAGCCCAGAGACGTTTAGATCATATCATTTCGCCGCAGGATATCTTCGTATGCCTTCATCTTCTTGGTCCGAGTCTCCATTAGGTCAAAGATGTCGTTGTAGCGCTTCAGCAGCTCGTCGTATCGCGACCGCCAGTGACGGTACTGGTGCTTCCAGAAGTCGACGTCTCCAAGGATCTCCGACACGCGCCGGCTGAAGCTCTGCTCGAGCTGCTTGGACAGGCTACGGGTCTTCTCGCGCAAACCTGCGTTTTCCTCCCGGAGCTCGAGGTTGTCGGCCTCGAGCTTGACAATCTTGTACTTGAGCCTCTCTTCCTCGCGGTGGTGCTTGGAGGAGCTCTCGCCCGTCTTGTCGACGCTCCGGCGGAGAGACTCGTTTTCGATGGTGAGCACGCCGATTTGCTTCTCGAGCCCCGGGACGACGACGACGGTTAGGCGCTTGGCCTCGGCCTGCGAAGTCGAGGCAACAGACTTGAGGCGGTCGATCTCGTCCATCACCGACTTGTTGATCTCTTCCAGCTTGCGCTCCTTGTCGACGAGGGCGTTCCATTCCTCAAGGCTGACCTTGATGTAGTCGATTTCGCGAACGCGGTTGTGGTGTCCGCCATAGGACCGCGACCTCTTGATGGACACAAACTGCTGCCGCCCCTCGGGGGTGGTTTCGACAAACCACCGCTTAGACATTGTTGCTAGGTTGTGTTGTTGTATGACTTGCTCGAGTGTTTGTGTTGTTGTAGTATCGACAGTGCTTGATAGTGATAGTGATGTAGTTGATAGAGATCTGGCTGTAAAAGTAAGGTTATAGTAAAGTAATATATTTGTCAAAAACAACGTTGTCACACGAGTACCCGGGGCGAGGCAGAGTATATATAAAGCGTCTCTGAACTAAATGGACACTCGGTCAGTCCAGGTGACCGAAGCAGACACCACAAGCCTTATCCCGGTATAAGTGATGAATGATGAGCCCCAGCCACAATGAAAAGGCAGGACTGGGCTTGATTCCGGTGGGGATAAGGATAAGCATCCTCCAGAAATAGGACTTTTCCTGGAAACACATGGAACGGGTAGCTCAAAAAAAGAGAGGGATAGTAAAGAAAAGAACATGGCCACGGGTCGAAATGATACACACACACACACACACGGCCTGCAACTTTTGATTGTGTTTGCAATCAACCATGACCACCCTTACGGATGTGGCTGGTATTAGTGAAGGTGGCTTGCGTACGTGAAGGAAGCGACCGACCAGGGCCAGAGACTTTTTAGTCTCCCAAGGACAAAGAGTCTTTGACAGTCAAAGCTGTTTAAAGTCCTTGGGGGCTTGAGAGAGGACATAGTCCACGAGGCAGAGTCGCCTGACGGGTCACCCGGGATCCGCCCTCTTGGAGACGGAGAAAAGAAGCCTGGACGCCGTGCCATGGACGGGGTCAGGAAGAGTCAAGCTTGCTGTGAAGACGTTGGTCGGTCATTTGAATCACTCCTTCTGAACAGAAGAAAAGGAGTTGATCCAGGGTTGTCATCGCAACGGGCATCAAAAGATCGGATGGGTGACAGCTTCGCCGGCTCTCGGTTGTCCGCCAAAATAAGCGCGAGCGACCACTGCAGGGACGCTGCACCTCTCGGGACTTTGGGGCCTGCAGTGTCGATGCCCTTCGCCCTCCGCGGCCCAGCATTGGCTCGCCACGCTGCTGGTTCCTGGAAACAATCGCCAGCTAAGGATGATGCCATGGATGAGAAAGTGGCATGTGGTGGGTGTCGAAAGATGGTGTGTGGGAGGGCCACAAGGGCCGTGGCTCAGGCGGACGCGGCCCGTCCTGACGGTGTCAGTTGACTTGCAGCGCGGGGGACGACGCCCTGCCCAGGCTCGCACTGTGCCGATGCCCTCTTCCAGCCGGGCCCACGGGCGAGCTGCCGCTCCTACAGGGCGCCGGACGGTCCTTTGCTGCTCCACTGCGGCAGCCCGCGCACTGTGTTTCTGGAGTTGCGGTGCCTCTGTCTGACCTGCATTCTGCATACACGCGCGTCTGACTGACCACTGCGCGTGCGACAGCCAAGCGGTACACGGCGAATGGCAGCAGAGCAGGGCTAAATCAGAGTACAGTAGTCTGGAGTCTCTTGTTGCTCTCGGATTTTGAGCCGCATCTGCTGTTTGGGGGAGGCATCCCAGCTGTTGTTCCCCCGAGTTTGGGACAGCGGGCCAAATCTCTGCCTGCGCCACACACCCATCAACTCACTCACTCACTTCACTCAAACCTCGAACGGGCAATGTTTCGTGCCGGCTCCCGCTTTGAGGCGGTGCTCAGCCCAGAGAAGAAAAAAAAAAAAATGATGTGCATCTGCATCGGTCTAGATTAGCCGTTGATCGCTTGTTGGATTTGACTTGGACGCGGATGGCGAGCAGGGAAACCCCTGGTCGAGCTTTGCTTTGCTGCAGAGAGAATCTCCATGCATCTCCCATGTTACTTGTACTTCTGCGGTTACTTACATGCTTCATGTTGTGGTACGTTCAGAACTATCATCTCTCTCAATACAACCCAAATACCGCCATTAACATACCTACCAATAATGGGGAAAAAATAAAATATCCTCAACTCGTCAACTCACATTCACCTTTGCCCTCCTCTACATGTATTCGAAACCAACTCTATACAACAGACGCTATTAACCGGATCCTTCTCGCCTCACCTAAAATCCCATCCTCACCAACTCCCCCCTCTTAGCTCAAAACCCCAACACTCAGTCACTCACACCTCCGTCCAAAGAGGCAGCCATCCATCCATCCATCTCGCCCTCCCGCTCCGTGACTCTTACCGACTACGTAAAATAAGGCTCCCACGCTTTATTAAGCGACCCTCCCAAGTGTTGCCACCCACTACCTATCTATCTATACCTGAAATGTTTCCTGAGTCAGCCCCGACCCTTCAGTCTAGGCAACATTATCTGCCTTCTACACTCAGGCCTCGCTCACACATTTGCCTCGAGAATGGTGTCATACCTAAATTCAGCCCGCCGATAGACTCACCGCGTCCGCCGAAAGCGGCGGCAACTAACCAATCAAGACTCGGGTGGTTGCCTCTGAGAGAGCCCTATGCCAGAGCTCGCATTCAAGCCCGTATCCGGGTTCAAGACCTGCAGGTATCCCCGAGGCCAGGGAACTCGACTTGAGAAATATTCCTGTAACCTGTCATTTTTGTCAGTTTCCTACTTCTTCTCCCGTCTTCTATATCGGACAGGCCGAGGAGTTGGGGGCTTATTCGCGGCCTCGGTCTTGTTATCACGGAGGCGGCATGTATCTTTCCGTCTGCGTGACCATGTAAGAGGTTGTTGTTATGTTGTCAGTCTATAGCTGGCTCCCTCAACCAACAGCAAATAGAGCTTGGCAACAAAGGATCCAGCCCAAGGGAGGAAATTCCTGCTTTACACGTAACTGGCTTACACGTATGCCTCAGCTTTTTGAGTATTCAGAGGGGAAATGGCACACCCCTCCTTTCAGTGATTCTGCCGTAAGACTGCATCATAATTGCCATGGCGTAGACCAGACTATCTCGCACATTTAGAGGCAAAGTCAAAGCCTCAACCCATTACAATAATGGTGGTGATTTCATGACCATCTTGAAATTCTACCGTTTTACAACCTATAATTCTCTACATTCAGTAGCTTTACTCTTCTGATTTGCCCGCCCTCTCATGCTCCTTGGCACTTACACCAACAGGAAACCAGCATCCCTCAATCAGTCAACAGCACCAACACCAAACATCACATTCACACACCTCCTAAGACACAAAATTCAAGAAATATCTCTCTTTTCAGCAATCTCCCCATCTCAGTTTGATTCGCTCTTCGAAAAGTCCCAGCCAATCCTGACTGTTTTCCCACTATGGTATCATAATCCTCCCCCCAATCTTCTTCTGCTGCCAAGAAAAAAAAAGCAATCCCGTTGTTTTGCTCCTTCACCTCATTCACGCTTATACAACCAAAAAAAGAAAGAAAGAAAGAAAGAAAAATAGAAAACTGTATGTACACTGTTTGTCTCGCTCAAAGGACGTTGGATATGTCTTGGAAGCATCTTTGCCGTCCCCTGGTTTCTCATACTCTTTGCTCACGAGCAATCTATATAAGAAGGGATGAAGAAAGAAAACAAAGAACAAAAGCTAGCCAGCCGTTTTACAAGACGCCTATAAACCCTCCTTGGGTGCGCCGTGGCTGAAAAGCGAAAAAAAAAAGAAAAGAAAGAAAAGTCAGAAACTAGTTTTGTAGGGTAGCGTATACTTCAATAATTCGAATGAGTACACTCCCTCGTAGAAACGTGTTATGAAGCCAGTGCTTGTGCAACGGCAGCCTGCAACCCTTCCAACAAGGCGGCCTCTGCTGCCGCCTCATCATCTTGTACGACCGTCTGGGACATGGTCGCCTCCGGCGCAGACACGAGCTTGTGCAGTTCTGTTTGCGCGGGGATGGACGGCTGCTGGGGCTGAGATGAGTAGGCCGGAGCGGGCGAGGCCTGAACGGGTGTCGAGATGTGCTGGGAGAGGTGAGACGGGGTGGGTGAAGGATGAGCCACCGTTCCGTTCTGGAGCTGCGTGGAGGCGATCGGCGTCCCAGGCTGGCTTGGGGTTGTTTGATGGTGTTGCCCGAGGGCTGGCGAGTGCGACGGCTGGGGATGAGGTGACGACTGTGGTTGTTGGTGGTATTGTTGCTGTAGCGGCTGTGGTGAAGGTTGGACTGGTTGATGATGCACTTGCGCCTGAGCTTGAGTCTGTGCAGGCATCTGTGTATGCGGCTGGGCCTGTGTCAGGGCTTGAACATGTGTCTGGGCTTGGGTCGGTGTCTGAGGATGCTGCTGCTGCTGTTGTTGTTGTTGCTGTTGCTGTTGCTGTTGCTGTTGCTGTTGCTGTTGTTGAGGCTGATGCTGTTGGAGCGGCGAGTGTTGCTGCATCTGCATCTGCGACTGCGGCTGCGGCTGCGGCTGGGATTGAGGTCTGGGGACCTGGGGAGGGAGCTGAGTCTGTGGTCGTTGAGGTGCCAGCGGGACCGGTTGTGAGGCTTGCTGGACTGCTGCCATCTGGCTTTCGGGTTTGATCTGCGCCGTGTTGGGCAATATCATGCCGCCACGCGAAATAGGTGCCACGTTGGCCTGCTGTGTACTCGTCATTGATGCCGTCGGCGTGTGATGAACATGTGACGCATGCTGCTGCTGCTGCTGCTGCGCCGATGATGCCGACTGCGCTGCGCTGGCTGCCTGGGCTGGCGTTACCACACTCTGACCTACTGCAGCAGCCACGGTAACAGGTGGTCTGGCTTGATGTTGGAGCTGTTGGAGCTGTTGTCGCGGCTGCTGATGCGGCTGCTGCTGTTGTTGCTGAGGCGGGTGTTGTAGTCCTCCGGCCAACGCCATGATGCCCTGCAGCTTGGCCTGCTCTTCCTCAGAGTTCATTCGAGCTCTCTCCTCAGCTTCCTTTCTGGCTGCTTGGGTTGGGGCTCGAGTCTTGAGTTCTCCCGTAACGGCTTGCAGGTAATAAGGCATTTCTGAGTTGGTCTTTAAGAAGAATAACTTCAAGTTTCGTGCCTTGTCCTTGAGCTGCACCTGTGTCCTGTCCTTTAGAATGTCGGAAATGGTTCCATTCTGACCAAACAAGGTCAGAATCTGGCTCCAGTGAGGGCCCTTGACCATATCAAGGCCGGCCATGAGTGCCTTTTCTTCCTCCTGAGTCCAAGGCCGCCGCGTGGAGTGCAGTCCTTCTCTTCGCGTATGTGCTGATGATTTGGACAGCGCTGCTTGTCGGGCTTTGTCGTAAAGAATGGCGCTGGGGAATGTCTGGTTCGGTGGGAGGTTATCGGAGGATCCGGTTGGCTGAGGAGGTTGCTGTTCCGGAGCCGGCTGGCTTGCGTAGGTAGTGTAGTAGGGATGATGGGATTGGTGTTGATGAAGATGGCTCAGGTAGGGTGACTGCGCAGCCATAGTCTCGGCTAATTGAATGTGAGTAAGATTAAAACAAGTTCACAAGCCGAGGTCTGCTTACCTGTGCTCTGGGGGACTGTAGGTTGGTAGGGAACGGCAGAAAGGCCATGCAGCGTCGTTTTGACATAATTCGACGTGCTTTCCGCCACCAGCGCCTCCAGTTCCTTGTAATCTGAGATGAGGTCCAGCTTGGCCCCGTTAGTTTGAGCTGCCGCCGGCGCAGCTGTTTCTGGCTTTGACTCGCCATTGACAGTCTCTGTCGGCGTCTCTGTGACTTCAACCACGGCCGGCTCTTCTACTGGGGTTTCCTCCGTCAAGCCAGCCAAAGCATTCTGCACCAAGCCCGAGGTGGTCTTCTCGAAAAATGAAGAAAGGTCGTCGAGGTCCAGTTCTCCGTCATGCGAGCCGCTCGGTATTGACTCCTGATTGGCAACGTCGCTCAACAGCGCCGAGACTCCAAGCCTCTCTCCAATCTCCGTCATGGAGGCGAGTGTCGTCCTCACGTGCGCTGAAAAGCTCTTCAAAACATCACCGGTGGGATACTTTTCTTTGAGAGCGGCTATCAAAGTACGTTAGAACCTCCCCAGAGCAGGACGAAAGGAGAGCAAGATGAACACCACTGACCTGGCTCCTTGGCCTTCACCTCGTCAACAAGAACATCTTTTCGGGATTTGACTGAAGTCAAGAGGTCTTGTTGAGAGGCCGACATCGGCTCGCTACTCGCATCTGCCGGCTCATTCAGTCCTTCCAGCATAATCGTCTGCACCACCTCTTCTGGCACCACCTCTTCTATTGATGGCCCATCTCCGTTGCGTATTAGAAGCGACTCGATGGTCTTGTGGGTTCGGATTCCGAGGTAAAGCTGGGAGAGCCCGGAAGACAGGTCCGACAGCTGGCATCGGAAAACAGCTGCGAAATACCTGTCGGCGGCGGTAAACGAATCCAGGCCACCCTCGACCAGCCACGTCCCAAACTTTGCAATGTTGGCCAACTCCAACAAGGTGCGAGCTTCCGCCTCTTGTATCTCCAGCTCGTCGGCGGACAGCACCTGGCCATCCGAGAAGAGCTGCCATGTCGCATCGAAGGATCGTTTTAGTCGTCCGTACGAGCGCCCATATCCCGAATCTGCGTCTCCCGCCAGCTTCGACATGTCATCGATGGGCTGCTGGAGTAGTATCAGTAGTAATGAAAGCGCCTGCAACCACGTTAATCCTCTGGTGAGCTGGAGCGCATTGATCGCAACACATCTCGTTGACGTACAAGGTTCCCCAGCGCATGCGTGTTGGCAATGCGCACGTACTTTTCCGGCTCCGACAAGAAGGATACAGGAGCCGGGCGGGCATCGGCGCCATGTGCGTCGTCCACGTCCATGGGATCGCTGCCATGCGCCTCTCCAGCCTCGATGCTGAACTTGCTAACCAGGTCGCCGACATTGGAGAGCGCATTCTGCACCAGCAGCGCCAGCCCATCTTCGAGGGACGTCTCTTCTTCCGAGGTAGGGTTCTCTGTTTTGGGCCTCTTGGCCTCTTGCTCACGCTCATCGTGATTGTCTTGGGCCACGTGCTCGAATGGGCGCTTCGACGCGAGCTCGGCGAGAATGCTAAAGTCGAGGGCCTCGAGGCCCGTCGGCTCATGTTCATGCTCCTGCTTGATCTCTGTGCGAACCAGGAAACCCATTGTCAGCGACGTCTCTCTCTCTGCTGCTGCTTGTAGCTTGCATTGGCAAAAGCAAATGAAGGGGAAAGCAAAGAGAAGCAGCGCAACACCAGCATCATCTCACCTCTGGGAGAGCCAGTAGGCGCTGTCTGAACCTGCGTCGGCTCAGCCATATTGCCAATTGCCTCGAAACAGGCCCGTCAGGGGAGCATCTGCAAGTCTTTTCCGGCCAAAAGCAAAAAGGCCCAGGTCGACCAGGAGCACGGCAAACGAATGGCAAATCGAAATCGGTATCGAGGCCGTTGTCGTCGTTTCGCAATCCCGATCAGCGCCAGACTGCGGGATGATGGCGGGCGGGCGGGCGGGCGGCAGAAAATTTGCTGAGTCAGATCGATCGCCGATGCCCTTATTTCTTGCCCCGGAAAGCAGCTGCTCTGAGATACACAACGGGCACAAAGTAATTGGGGGGGCCGCGAAAATTAAAATTGCCAGTCGAGAAATCGAAAATGGGCCAAAAAGGTGTTGCAGAAAGGCGGCGGAGCAAGGCTGGCGTGCAACCGATAAAGAAAAAAAATCCTTATCCTTGCTTCCAGCCAGTCAGCAGCGTCCAACGGCAGCTCTTCTTTTTTTTTTTCACCAGAGGCGGGATAGCGAGGCACTCATTGGACCTGCGATAAGGCTTTGGTGGGTAATAATTGCCTCTGCCTCTTTTTTTTCTTTCTATGGCTTTTTGGCTCGTGGCTCGTGGCTGGTGTGAAGGTGGTGGTTGCATTACATAAGGCATCCCATGTCACTCTCCCTTGAGCGTGCTGATCGACGCAAGTCCCAATGGCTGTACTCTGTAATAATGCCTCGGTCCAGTAAGGCAACTACCTCTTACCTACCTTTTATAACACAAGGCCATTCATGCTCATAATGGCGAGAATTACCTACTTAAATAGAATCTTATCTTTTATCTTAAAGTTGTTGTTCTATTATTATAATTTTTTGAATAAACTTCAACTCTCAATGAATGACTGCTTCATTGTTCTTTCTATTCATCATCAAACAACCACATCCCTCTTGCCAACCATCATTCACACCACAAGTAAACACCACACGTAGAATCAATAATAAGCAATCCAAAACATCATCCCCCTTCATCCTCATCCTCATCCTAAAAACAAACCCACCATTCCCTACAAACCCCCTACAATCCTACAAGTTATGATCGACAAACTCCAATGCCAAACTCACACCCGCACCCCCTGGGGCCACAACCCCCATCGCTACAACCACCGCATCCGCTACCTCGTCATGGGCCTCCTCTGCGCCTCCGTCCTCGCCGTCTTCGTCGTCAGCCTCGTCTTCATCGGCGACCGAGCAATCCAAAACTACCAGCTCTCGCCTCCCGACGATACTCCTACGGCTTCAGTTGAGCCGTCATCGACTTCAAACGTCACTAATACGAACACTACTACAAACACTTCTTCGCTGTACGACAAAAGCGGCAGGATTACATGATTCCTCTATATGAGGCGTTGGTAGACGGAGACAAGCTGCAGCTCCTAGAGGCATCACATCAAACAGAATGGTTACTAGTTACAGGCCAAGGTAGAAGAGCGTGGCATATGGGAGCAAGCTTCGTCAATACTGCATTAAAAACACATCACACAATACGGAAACAAGGACATCAACAGCTGATGTACAACATATCTTCATGCATTAAATATATCATGCCTCGTTACGCGGCACATGTCATGTAAAAACATCCCCTCTCCAAACATTCAGCCATCATAAAAAGAGCATTAGAGGAAGCAAGGCTAAAAAGACGCAGTCAAAATGCCTGCCTCCATTTCCCATGAATTTTTTTTTTTCCTTTCTCTGGATAGAGCAGTTGCGTTGTATATAAACAAGACGACATCAGCATAACCAGTCATGGAGCCAAAAACCAGCTGGGTGACAAAGGCCAAGACGCAGTCTCTCTGCTGAAAGTCGCATGGTAATATTAAAAAGAGAAGAAGAAAGCAAGATATTAAGTAGCTGGGTATCTGATATTGGTCTGACAAATACAAATCCAAAGAGTAACATCAGCTGATCTTACAAGAGGATTGCAATGGCGAGAGCACCAACGACACCGGCACCGAATGGAGCGGCGCGCTTGTCTGCGCTACCGCCGGAGGTTGTCGATGAGCTTGCAGGGCCGGAGGTAGTGGGAGAAGATGAAGACCCGCCGGTTGCAGTCGAAGGAGGAGCCGTGATAGCCATGGTAGTCTCGACGACGGCGCCATCGCTAGCAGTCACAGAAACAACAGTCTCTGTCGCTGCCGTCTCTGTCTCCGTGGCCACCTCTGCCGAGTGGGTTCTGGTGTTGACAGCAAGAATCTGGCCCAAGGTGGGCAGGTCGACATCGCCGTCAATCTGCCACCAGCCGTCAGCAGTAGACGTAGGGCAAGCGCGGGTAGACACCTTGCTCGGGTTGTAGTCAGACTTGTGGACGCCGGCGGGGGTGTTGGTCGCCCACTTGGACTTGAGAGCGCTGAAGTCGGGCTGCTTAGGCGTAGGAGTTCCCTTGCGCAGGAATCCACCCTCGACATCAGGACCAGCAGGTTGACCAGCAGGGGCGTAGGTGATGATTCCGTAGCTGTTCTCCTCCTGGATCCACTCGTAGATGATGGCACCGCTCCAGTCATTAACCATCTGGGGGCCAAAGATGGCGTCTTGGTCATCCCATGCGCGAGGGCCGGGGACGATGCATCCAGTCTCGGAAAGGAAGATGGGGACAGGGAAGTTCTTGGCGTAGGCCTCCAGCTGGTCGTAGGTAGACTCGGTGTATGTGCTGGGGTCGCACCACGAGTACGAGTTGAGAGAGAAGAAGTCGACAGTCTCGGACGAGTTGCCACCGCAGGTGAGGTAGTCTTGGAGCATGGGACGAAGCTGCAGGATGTCGGCAGCGGAGTATCCAATGGGGATGTCACGGTAGCCCTGGGCATCACGGTACGATTTCATGTCGCGGGCAGCAGCCTTGAGGTAGGGGGCCGTGGGAGAATCATCTTTAGTAGCAATGTTCTCATTTCCAACGAAAACACCCAACAGGTTGTCATACTGCTGGAAGGCATCCAGGACCTCGGCATATCTTTCGAACTTTGTCTTATTCCAGTAGTTATTCTCCTATACAACCAGTCAGACGATACAATTCAAAAGACAGGAAAGGGGGAGGAAAACGAATCCACGCACGGGAATAATGTAAGTATCAAAGGTATCCAGGTCAGCAAGGACGTAAATGCCGGCGTCGTCAAACGCCTTCATGCAGCCATCATGGTCCGCCGAGGGGTCGACGTGGTACACGCGAATGGTGTTTGTTCCGAGCTCGGTCATGAGCTTGGCATCGCGCTCGCACTGGTCAGTGTCAACGAGAGGATCCTGGGGCCTGAGCTGGTACGCAATGCCTAGAGAAGCGGGCTGTCAACACATGTCATCTCCCCCATCCTGGACGCTTCAGACGGCCATACCCTTGATGAAGAACTGCGAGCCGTCCTTGTTGAAGAACTTGTTTCCAACGGCGGAAATGGGATCCAGGGCCACGACGAAGGATTTGGCGCTGGCGAGCGCAATGGCAGCAGAAGACCAACGCATCGTGTATGAATTAGTTTGGGGTTGAGAGAGCGGTTAAGCAGAATTCACTGTTCAAAACTCGAGACCAAAAAAAAGGGTCCAAGCCAATGTTGTCAAGGCAAATTAAGCAAATAAAAGCCGTCGAGGGAATCCCAAGAAAAAAAGAGAAAATGTAGAGCACGGCAGTTTGTCCAACCAAAAAAAAGGCGAGTGTCTGGTCACTGAATGAAACCCAGGGGAAAAGGGGAGACAGAAGTGAGAGCAACGTGACCCAGAGCGAGAGAGAGCGAGCAAGAGAGAGGAAAAAGAAGCGAGTGCGGTCGGACGCTCAGGCAGCTGGCAGCCAGTCAAAAGAGCGAGCGAACAATTATAAACCAAAAAAAGCACACACAGCACACAGCTGCGACTCCGTGATGCGAGAAAGAGCGGCTGGAGAGACGGAGAGGGAGAGGGAGAGAGAGAGAGGAGGAGAGCGCAGATCCCGCTGGACAAAAGAGCGATGATGAGATTGTTATGGCATCGTGCAGCACCAGCACCGGCACCCCCATATTATTTCTGCCAGTACTTGTACGAGGCCCAGTGAAGTGCTAGTAAAAAAACGATTCAATTGACAAGGTTGTTGCGGATCGGGGCTTCGTTCTCCATCGTTGCTAGCTGCCAAAATACGGCTAGGCCGTGGGAAGAAGAGTGTGGAGGGATACAATCCGATGCTGCTAGCAGTTACGAGCGGTTTGGCGGAGGATGCTAGCAGCATTGGATCCAGCATCCAGGCACGGACAAGGACAGGACAGGACAGGGCCCATGGGGGTATCGGGTCACGAGGCAAAAGGCCAATGTTTCCCGGTTTCTCGTGTTGCATTGATTTGATTCATTCTCTGTACGATGGAATTCAATTGCCGATGATCCAATTCATCAATATGGATACTCAGTACCTACATGTATCAGAGACGCATAAACACACGCTCGTATACTCAAAATGCCACCTCGCCCTATCAAATGCCGCCCATCTTTCAACGTCAAACAACGCCCTCATGCACCATGACATGCTACACTTCCATCCGACTCGGGCAAACAGAATCCCCCCAGAGCCAATAACATCAACGTGCTCCCCCCCCCCAAGATAACGCCAAGCGCCTCCTCGTATAAAGCCCGTCCCCCTTGACTCTCGACCAAAGGAACCAACCAAGCCCAAAGCAGCACCACCAGCTAGGCCTCCTCGTTTACGATATTCCCGCACGTCCAATCGCGACCAGGGCCCTATACGCTCCAACTCGCCTTTTACCCGCCAATGCGTCTGGGGGAGAGCGAAAAGAAAGAAGAAAAAAGATAACCTATCCCAGACTAAACAAAAAAAAAAAAAAAATCTGCAGCATTTCTTTGCCCCTGACATGAAGCCGGCCGGCGCTAACGCGGTGCTAGCGAGTGTCTCATTTTATGAACACGGGTTTCTGCATGCTGGTAAGCCTTGGCTCGGAGTGAATTGTCACGGTCGCATTTGTGCGAGTAAAGTACTGTAAGCATATAGCATGTTATCGATCGCCTTCACGTGGCTTGCTGCAAGGGGCGGATATGAAGCCCTCATATGGCATCCATGTGGTTCGGGTCCTCCCGACGCTGTGTGTTGGTTCATTCATTTCCACCAATACGATATCAATTGACAGAGTCGCGGTTTATTCTACTTGCAGCAAGCTCAGCGATAGTCCGGAGTGGTATGTCTGCTATACGAAGTAGATAGTCTGCAACATACCTATCGTATGATGCCTCCCGATTTCATTTCGCCTATTCGTGCCAGGCATTCTTTCTTCTCTACGTCATCCCGGCAAGGTACCGTAAGCTTCTGTTTAAGCTACAACACTAAACGCAGTCCAGTATACTTTGAAGCCGTACCGTGGGCTTTTATCGTCACTCGTCAGCCAGATGGATATAAAGCACAGCCATTGGCCAAGTCTTTCCTTTTGCCACGATACGTGAAATCGGAGCAAAGAGTAAATGGAAATATTCTTCTTGTAAAACTGCCAGCTAGTCTAGTCTACCATGCCAAGACCCCCATGAGGCTTCATTATTGTAGCTCTAATATGCATCAAATCATCAACAAAAGCTTCCCTCCTCCTCCCCCCCCCCCTTCCACCAACCAAACCATACAGAAAGAGAACAACGCCAGCGCCCTCTCCTTCTTGGCTCCCTTCATCTACCTCATCTTCTTCGACTCCTCCGCAGACCCCTTCCTCCCGATAAACGTCTTCATCCCCCTGTCCACGCCAGCAAGCTTCCTCGCAACGAGCTGCACTCCCACCGGCAAAACATTATACCAATCCACCCACCGCGCGTAAAACGGCATCGCCGCAGTAACGCCCTTGCCGCCGTCAATCGCCGCCACAATCTCCTTGGTCACGTCCACCGGCTCGACCACGGGCGCGAAGAAGCCGTTTGGCGTCTGCACGCCGTAAAACAGCGGCGTGCTGAGCTGGCCCGGCGTGACGAGCACGGTGCGGATGTCCGGGTGCGACTCGCGCAGCTCGGCGGCCAGCGACTTGTGCAGCGCCGTGAGGCCGGCCTTTGCGGCGGCGTAGTCGGTCAGTTGCGCGGCGCCCAGGTGGCCGATGACGGACGACACGTTGACGATGGTGCCGCCGCGGCCGCCGCGGATGATGGCCGGGAGGAACGTCTTGAGGCAGTAGAAGGGACCCAGGAGGTTGGTGCCGATGCTGGTCTCGATCTCATCGATGGAGAGGTCCAGCAGCGGCTTGCCCACGACGACGGCGGCGTTGTTGATGAGCACAGTAGGCGTACCGAGCTAATTCCAAGTCCATCAGTCAGTCCATCTCATCGTCTAGGGCAATCACCAAAACACTCACATCCTTCTCAATCTCAACGGCAACCTTGGCCACCTGCTCCTTGTCGCTCACATCGCACTTGTAAAACGTCACGCCCCGAGCCTCGCCATTCTCCATCTCATTCACGTCCAAAACCGCCACGCTCGCGCCCCTCATGCCGTACACCTCGGCCACCAGCATGCCCAGCCCGCTCGCGCCGCCCGTCACCACAATCACCTCCTCGCCCAGGTCCACCTCGCGCGGCATGCCGTGCGCGATGCGCTGGTTGACCGCGCTGGCGATCCACATGACCGAGATGAAGATGGCCCAGGCAATGGCGCCCACCATCGGCGGCGCCTCCCACTTGGTCGTCTGGGCGCGCAGGCATAGCGGGATCAGCCAGCAGATGAAGGGGTGGAAGATGGTGACGTTGAGCACTTTCAGGATCAGGTCGACGGACAGCGGCGCGAACCACGAGTCGCGCTGCGGCGGGCGCGAGTAGCTTGCTGGAGGCATGATGACTGTGGTTTTTGGTTTGTGTGGTTTGATGAAGTTTCGAGGTCAAGAAAGGAGTATAAAGGGGACGAAATCTGGTGCTTTGAACTAAAGTGGCCGCAGTGGAGGGTATCACATGAAAAAAAAAAAAGTACTACTGACCCAATTCAACACCCAAAAACACAAACGCAATTAAAGTGGTGTTCTCAAGAATCTCTCCAACAAATAAGATAAAAGAGCAAAGCCATTAATATGCAAGAATAAAATAAAAAAGCGTCTACTCCAACCATCAAAAAGAGGAATCAAAAGCTCTTTTATAAGAAAATACGCAGTCACAGCGTTCCCTCTCATGAAACCGTTTTAGCGCTCCCCCTGGACTCCAGCTAGTCAGTTTCGCGACGCCGCAGCCCGTTGCCCCCTAGAAATTTAATTGGCCAGACACCATTTCTTTGCCAACACCTTTTCCTTTTCGACGGATCTGGGAGCGGAGATGAGATGAAACGCTTTGGCTGTGTCTGAGCTTTTGATGTGCCTGTGGTTGTTTCACTTTGCGGTGGAGGGCTGAAACGGCCTCTCATGATCTTCTCTTCATTATGGAGTGCTTTTCGTAAGTTATCATATCAACTTGAACGTCTTCATTCAGTCTAGATTTGTACAGAAAATATCCATATGCAAAAGCTTGTGTCGTGATGATGCCGTAACCCATGATATATATCCCAGAGCAGAGTCTATCCCAAACCAACAAATGTATATCAATGCCATGCCTCCACACAAATCGTACACGCAAAAAAAAAAAAAAACCCCCCCATCACAACTTGGTCTTCCCCTCCGCCTTCTTCTTCATCTTCTCCCGATACGCCCGATACTTGCGAATCTCCTCCTCCTCCCACTCCTTCTCGCGCTGCGACGCCTTCTTGCTCCACTCGTGATAGCCCGGATCTCGCGCGATGCCCTCCATCCGCCACCTCTGCGGCGGCTTGATCCCCAGCGCCGCCTTCTGCTCCCACACCTGCTTGCCTCTCTTGAACCAGCGCTGCTGGCGATCCTCTTCTTCGCCGACCGACGGCCTCCAGTTGCTCTTGAGGATTCGTCGAATCGCCTCGCGCGACACCTGGAACTTGTCTGCCAGCGCATCCGTGGTGTAAACATCGGGGAACTGTGCGTTGAGAGCCCGGATCCCAGCCAGGGCGTCTGGCGAGAGTCGTTTGCGCGGCTGCCATCCCTCTGGGAATTTCTCTTTAAGCGCTGCTTTCTGGAGCTGCCACGGCTCTTGGTTCCTGGATCTTGGCTTTGACAACTGTTCAGTCGAATCTGTCGGCTGGGTTTCGGCAGAGTTTGGCCTGACTTTTCGTCCCGTCTTTGCCCTTGACGTCGTATTCTTTGAGCCCTCCTCTCCATCAGCAGCAGCAAATCTCCTCTTGCTCCCTCCATCCCTCCTCGTCCGCTTCCTCTCGACCGGTTGCGAATCCGCCTCAGCGTCTATACTCGACGCCATCTCGTCCAGTGCCTTCGCGGTGTTTGGCTGCGCATCCTCGACAATCGCACCCCGAGATCCCTCCTCTCCACTCTTCTTTGTGCCCACCGCCGTCGCCGCTCCATCCTGCCTCCGAAGCCCCGAAGCATGCAACCCACGATTCTGCCCCAAGACCACCAGAGGACGGGCCGGCCATCGAAACTGCACGGCTGGAGGAGCGTCGGGTCGGTGAATCTGGGCGAGGCCACGCGCAAACGTCCGCCACGGGACGGCGCGGCACGAGCAGCTCATTGTCGGGGAGCGCGTGTGAGAGCAAGGCAAAACCGATGCTCTTGTCTGTTGGAAGAAAAAATATGCCAATGGCAAGGCTGCAAGAGGAAAATCAATTTAGGTATCGTTAGTGTGGGATCGATGTGGGGCCAGCCGCACTCTGCAATCGCTAATCACAAGCTGGATATAAATCGTCAAAGCATGAAAGTCGAAAGCTGCAATACATGTATGTCACACATAATGAAGAATGAATAACAGTCACTTTGAATGAAAATGGAAACCACATGTGCTTGATCAAGTAAATTGAACTAGACAATTCTATCCAGCCACGTGATATGGCTGTTGATGTTACGCCCATCTATCGGTTTGTACACATCTAGGTATTCTGAGACAGGAATTCGCTGCTTTTCTGACAACTCCCTGTAAAAAAACATAATAAAAAAGAAAACAACCTCAACTCCAATCCGTATTAATAATGAGGTCCACACGAAGAATCGACAATCTCCGGGAACCAAAGTAGTAGCCGTGCGTCATATCTCTGCCAACGCCAACCAAGAACCGTCTTCCCAAAAAAAGAGTACAGAGAAGATATGAAAATAAAGAGAAATGATAAAAATCCGCATGCACACCGTCCATCATGTCAACGTGTCCAAACCCCCCCGCTTAGAGGTCGTTCATCAGCTCAACAGGAGGTCGAGCAGTCTGAGCCATGATGGGCTTCGAGACCTCGAGCGGGCTAAAACTCGGCTCATCCGTCATGTCCTCAACAAACACGGCAGGGATACCGGGGCTGGTCTCGGCATCGGGCTTGTAGATGAGAGTCGAGCTGCGACTCCGAGTGCCAAAGTTGGGAACTCCGCCGTCGGTAGGGGTAATGGGTGAGTCGTAGTTGGGGACGGGACGATGGTGAAGCTTGGCAAGAGCTTCGGCAAGATCATCAGCGTGGACCTGCTTGTTGGGCGCATCCTCGAGGCGCATCTCCCAGCCGTGGGGAGGGCTGGCGGGTGGCGAGATGAAGAAGAGCTTGCCGGCGTCGGGCAGGGCCAGATGCTCAGGCTTGGTCTCAATGGGCGTGGAGTGGCCAAAGTAGAGCTTGATGCGCTCACCCATGACGGCTTCGCCGTCCCATACCTGGCGCACCGCTAATGAGGCATCGATGTCGAAGAAGGAGACGATGATGCGGCGGAATGACTTGAGCGGCGCAAACGAGTGTATGGGTGCTGTGTGCTCGATGAGTTCGCGGATGGTCTGCAGGTTCTCGGGCAGGAAGATGTCGGTATTGTTCAGGTTGGTGAAGATGAGTGTGTTTGAAGGAGGAGTGGGCTGAACCAGTGGCGGGAGGTTGGAGAGGTCCAAGCTCAGGTTCGCCTTGTTGCGGGATGAGGTGGAAGAGGACCTTGATAGATTAGGTGTCTCCATTGTGAATTAGGTTGTGGAAAGAAGTATGATGTCGCGTTGTGATGAACGGCTAGCCGGAGTCATAAACTGCAGATGAGTGATCTGACGATGCCCTTGATATCAAGCTGAGCTCGGGGTGTCGTGTGACGTGTTCGGTGCAAGTCCGGCGGTAATGGAGCTGCTATAGCTGTATTTGTAGTCGTCCAAATGTGCAGTATTCGCTGTACTCAGCAGTCGAGATGATAGAGCAGGCTGTTGGTATGGTGTTGTTTTGTCTTGGTCTTGAGGAGAGGGAAAAAAGAAGAGGAGAGAGGAGGCAATCTTATAACAATCAAGCCCAAAAAAGAAGGCGGAACGGTGCAAAAGGTTAATGGAGGCCACGGGATGCCAGTGGCTCAGGATTGGCTGCGCAAAAAAGGGCAGATGGGAAGCGGTGGAGCCGCGATTGGCGTGGCCCAATGCTTAGCGCTGGCGGTACCCCGTGCAACTGCAGTGATTACAGGCGGCGCAAGTACCTGCTACGGGCGATGCGGGCGATGGAGGTACCCGCGATGTACTGGCACTCGTGCTGGTACTGGGGCAGTGCAGCATGGCCCCGAGTAATGAATGAGTAATGCCAGCCAATGCCGGGCGGGCGAATCCGTGCGAGTTGCGAGTTTCTTTGTCCTTCTTTTTCTCGTCTTGTGTGCCCGTGTCCCCTGCAAGGTGAAATTTTTGAATCGCCACAAAAGCCCCGGGGCGTATTGCGTACGTCTGTATGTTTGTACGAGTACGAAGAAGGCACAGTACAGGATGACAAGGCATCCATGATGTGCCCTGATTGACTGGAGAAACCAGCAGGTACTCGTACCTGACCGATGGCTGCGAAGAGGCCAGTGCATCAATTGAACTCCGCCGTTCCAGTTCCCCATTCTGGACACCTCAGTCTAGCGGCAATACGGCGCAGACGAGGTACACGTAGACAATAGGATATGTCTGAGTCTGGTACGAAAAGAGTACTTCGAGTTTCCATCTCATCATGATAAATTCAAGGTTATCTGCAAGTATCCTTCAAACAACACGCAAGTACCGTGTCGCTGAGAGAAAACGCCCCCCGCCCTCGAACCCACTGGCAGGCACATTGAGGCTGTGCGACGACTTTCGCGGTACACCCGATGCAGCAACTCTGAGGTTTCCAAGCAAGTCCAGGTACACACGCTGTCACCGAGGCTTTCCACCTCCAGCAGGTTTTGGAATCGTTCAAAAATCATTAATCAGTCACAGACTAAGCATAACCTTCGTGGCTGAAAGCCTCTTTTTCCTTCTTTTTCCTGTCATTTCTACAGGTGTCGGGATTGACTCGGTTCTCTTATCCCATGGCCAAGTTAGTACCTAGGTACTCGTAGCCCTTGCATGTGTACCTACATGCATGTATCCCGCCGTCCCTCGAGCAAACTCCATCTCGTGCAACATCACATCAACAAAGCTGTCGCATGTCCATCACACACCTACTAACCTATCCAGTCGTCAATACCACAGTCCGCCATGGGTACACTGCAGAAAGTACAAGTACAAGTTTCCAGCAAAACGCAATCCCAACCCGGCGGGAATCTCGCACACCCCCGTCCGTCTTTTCTCGTGGGCGGCTATTTATCCTTGGCTTACAGAGAAACTAGGAGCAGCAGTAGCAGCTTCAACAACCATCAACCTATCCCGCTTCCTGGCCTTCCGAAGCGAGTTGTTGCATTCAAATCACCCCTCGGGAGTGGAAATAATACAAAGCAGTAGTCGAAACGATTTTCAACTAGCGAAATCCCGCAGAAGCACAACAAAAAGTCCGAATCCACTCGTTATCTTCCCCTCTCACCCATTCCATTCGCCTTTGAGACGGCGGTGCAATGAAACCAGCCACTGCATGTAAAAGGTGGAGTCTTTCTTGGGTTGTCACTGGAGACGATTTTTCTTGAATCTTCCTTTCGCGCATGATCGCCCGCCACCATAAACTTACGTATGTATATTGCTCCGTGTGTCCAGCCCGGGCCATGCGTCCCGGATCGCGGTTTGCCTCGAGGGCTGTGTCAACCGCAAGATGCCGTTTCCAGCTAGGTGATGCCCTCGTGCCTGTATCATGGTTATGGTGCATGGTATGGCGTCGGTTGCTACGCCTCAAGCACGAGCCGTTGTTGCCAGCATTGTATGTACGAGCCATCCCAGCCCTCGGCGCAATATTCCCCGAACAGGGCCCCAGCTTGTACGTTTGCGAGATGCCAATGCAATGCCCATGGAATCGGGCTTACGCTTCCCGCCTCATATACCAATCACCCTACAGTTGTCGTAGCCATGGCACAATCATAAGGTAATCATAACCTCTGCATTAAGCTTTCGACATGACAAACTCTAGGCTGAGCAGGATAGAACATTGAAACATCAGCCACGCTGCAACCTTAAAAAACTGCCTCTCTTCACCTCCGGTCCATCCAATGGGATGCCTCACAAACGTCATTCCGCAGGAACAATCACATCGAATGACTAATCCCCTGTATCCTGTTATTCAGTCACTCGATTCAGCCACACTCAGCACAAACGACTTCCCTGTGGCTGAGCCGTCAACAACATTCCCAACACCCTAGTAGTAGCACTTGATCGTTTACAACCTCATTTCGCTTAATCAAATCCCCAACGCCCATTTCCATTCTTCTTCTGCCATTCAACCTTCAAACGCCCGGCTTTCATCGTGCCGAACGTGCCGCTTTCCTTTTTCCTTGCTCTTACTCCCCCCTTGTCACTTTTAATCCCAGATCTACCAAGCCTTGATTTGTTGGACCTGGACCGTTTGCAAGCTCAGCTCGCTGTTTTTTTCTCACTTATGCTGCTGTCAAGGCGGCGAGGCGCAGCAGGCCTGTGATGATGCGTATCCTACCAGGTTGACCACGAGGCGTATGTAAGCAGGTCAATGCCATTCATTCAACTCTGATTGCTCAATTGCAATTTTTGCATTCGGGCCATGTTTATCTGTACAAGTGCGGAGTAACATGTATGGTATGGTAAATCATCAATGTGAATAAGCCAAGGTAGTATACAGGGCTGGACGTGTCCACGTTTTTCAAGCATTGCACGCGGCCAACCTCTACGGCCTGCCAACCAACGCCGTTCCGAGATCTCGATCAAAGCTTGCCAAGATCAGCCCGGCCCAAGTTCCCACTCGTCTTGCATAACAACATCTCAGCCTCGCTGCTAACCGCTACATCCCCCTCGAAGCTTCATGGGCAGAATCTCCTCGCCTCGTTCTCTCCCCCCTTTCACACGTAATAGCGCCAGCCAAGCCTCGCTCAGCCCCCAGCCCCATGGACCATGGAATCCTCGATTGTGTTCCTGCAAAGGCCCATCACCGGTTCTTCGGGCTGTCATCCGCTTCACCGTAGTTCGACACCGAGTCTGTCCACCAAGGCTTTCCTCACCCTCTCGTGAATGGCGTTCGTCTCGGTGCCCGTCAGCGTGCGCTCCAGATGGCGGTAGACGATGCGGTACGCCACGCTCTTGCGCCCCGTCTTGGGGTGGACAAACTCGTCAATGAGGCTCACGCTCTCGACCTCATCGCCCCCGATGCTGCGGACCAGCTCCATCACGTCGTTCTCGTGAAAGACGGCCTTGTCGTTGCCGCCCGCCGGCGACGTCGAGCGGATCCAAAACGACACGTCGCGGGGGCTGGGCGGGTGCTTGGAGAAGGGCACAAAGGGCTTTAGCGTGTCCAGGCTGGCCGAGACGCCCGCAAACTGCGACAGGAATCGCTCGTCCTCGGACCAGAAGAGCCGGATGTCCGGAATCTTGAACAGCAGCATGGCGATGCGGTCGATGCCGATGCCAAAGGCCCAGCCCACCTGCGATGGCACGTTGGCATTGATGTAGAGCTCCTGCTTGACCACGCCGCAGCCCAGCACCTCGAGCCAGTCGCCAGCGTAATACACCTCGAGCTCCCACGACGGGCTGGTAAAGGGAAAGTATGCCTCCACCCACCGCATCCTCAGGGGCTCATCCACAAAATCCGGGTCGTCCTTGATGGCCGCCGCCTTTGCTCTAGTGAAGATGTCGACCACCATGTTTTCCAGTGACCGCTTCAGGTGCTTGCCGAGCGCCTCAGCCTCCGCCGCCGAGTGATGAGCCTCCTGCAGTGGGTTTCGCTCAGGATGCATGGGCGGGTTGGGATCCTCCACCACCACGTCGTGCTTGGGCAGACGCTCAATATCCTCCACGACCGCCGCCGCAATGTCTCCGTCGGACACCTTGTTGCGATCCCATGACCGCGCGCCCTCCATCTGATGGAAGATTGGGTAGTGGCTTCGGTCAATGGCGTCTCGTCGATACACGTCCGCCGAGATGAGGTAGCCGTCGCTCTCGTTCGCCCTAAAGGTATCCGCCTGATGCGCGCTGGTGTGTGTCCTCAACAGCAGCTTCTCGTTGAGATAGTACGTGTCGGTGAGAGCCCGTCCAGGGTGATCCGCCGGGAATCCCAGCGAGTCAAAGTTCTGCTTTGTCGTCACCACGGGGCTGTATTCGTTGTAGTACTTGTACGTTGGCCGCGGGAAGTTGGCCTGGATGATCTGCCGCGTGATGGCGATTGGGTGGTCATTCTGGAGATGGAGACGCCTTGATGTTTTGGCGACAATGTTTCGCGGCACGTTGAACCAAGGCTTCTGTGTGGGATGAGTGTCTCCGCGGATAGTCACTGTCGATGTTGATTCTGATTCTTTAGACCCCGTTGTCGTAGCTGGTTATGTTAGATTCAAGGCTTCTTCATTAGGACCGAAAATTGAGCAGACAGCATCGTATCTCTTCCTTGTATTGCCCCATCTTACAGCAGGCAATGCGCAGAGTGAATCTAACCTTCAGAATAAAATCGATAGGCAAATCCCTGCCGCAACGTTCTTGAGCTCAAAGTGAGCTGCCGAGCTCTCAGTGACGGGCCAAGGCGGCACCGCATGCTTCCTATCCCGGCCAATGACATGGTATAAAAGAAGAAAATCAAGTACGAAATGCCTTCAATGCCTCATCCAGAGAACGGCCACAATCACCCGAATGTGTCCAGCATCGATTCAGCCGTGAAAAGCTCACTCTCATCGACCTTTCTCAAGCCGTCAAGTTTGGACGTCTAAGCTCATGCCATCCCACCAATGCCCGCTTAAACGCATATCGCCAAGTGGGGGAGCCAAAAGAGATCCGGGCTTGTTACCCTGGAGCTAGTGAGGGCTTTATGGGCACAACTATCTTGATCGCATCAACATCAACCGGATTGGCGAGATGGCCGAGTTGGTTATGGCGTCAGGTTAAGGCTACCTTAACAGCAATTCCTGGTGGAGCAATCCGCGTGGGTTCGAGTCCCACTCTCGTCAGATTCATTTTTTGTCACAGTCACCAAGAAACGGTGACCATCACTGTATCACATCGTTTTATCTTCTTTTTTTGTATATGTAATGTGTACATAGTATAAGTGTGTTTTTAGACGATATAAACCTCCCAACAACATTTTGTAGAGTTCATATGTACAGATCCAATCTCAAATATCATGACCTACCTACAAATTAGAGTTCCGAATGCTGTGCAATCCGTACCTTACTCCGAACAATGCAATCAAACGCCAGTCGCAAAACACATCATAAGTCATGCTCATGGCCTCCAACCAAGAGTCACGTAGCCTAGACTCAAGTGAAACACCCGAGGTCCCAAGTACAACAGTCCAATGCCAGCCGAGTGATTATCCCGACTGTCATCACTTAGTATTGGGAAGCATCTCGCTTCATGATGGCCTCGAGAGCAGCCTCCGGGCTAGACGCCCATATTTTCTGCGCGTGTGCACAAATCTTGAAGTGCTTCAAGAAGTTGTCTCGCGAAAACACCCTGTCCCACGGAGCGGTTGTCGCCCTCGACGGAGCCTGCCCGGGAGCCTGCCCGGCGATGCTCCTCTCACAGCCCGCACATGATATGCCATACTCGACCGTCCGGGCCCGCGGATCATAGTACGGCAGTTCGCACGACGCCATGAAATTGTGGATGGGGTCCCAAAAGGGCTGATGCTGCGAGCGTGCCGCGCTCGTGTCCAGCCGATCTCCGAATTCCTTCATGGCGGGGAAGTAAGGCACCAGCTTGACACGGCCTCTCTGGTAGGACATGCCCATCGAGTAGAGTCCCGTGGTGTAAATGCCCGGCAGCGCCTGGAACGACCGTTGCCGGCCGACTTCCGCGCGGGTGAGCCGAAACAGTCTCCGTACCTCGGCCACCGTCACCATCCTCGTCTCCGGATCCTCCTCGATACACTCGAAGCAGCAGCGGGTCCATGTGGGCAGAAAGACGAAGCCGCCAAACTTGCCGCAAAAGGTACAGTCCTGGGAGCACAGCACGCGGTAGAAATCCAGCAGGGTGACGTGAGCCGCGAGCTTCATCCGCAACAGCGCACAGTAAGCCGTCAGGCCGTAAGACACGGCCGCCTTGTACTCTTTCAGGGAGTCGACGACCTGCCGCGCCCTGAGGTTGACCCGACGAAGGTCGAAGAGCGCCTGCATGTCCATCTGACGCAGAGCCTGCAGCAGCAATTCCACCGGCAGCCGATCAAGGTCCCCCAAGCCCGCCCGAGAGACGATGGCCGACGTCAAGATGGACGACCGCACCTTGGAATGGTCGCTGGGCCAGACGTGGACAACAGACATGCCGTAGTCTCGTCGGTGGTAGCCCGTCGTCCGGATGATGGCGTCATCCTGCTCCCTCTGCAGCATTGCACGGGTCGTCTTTGGTGACGGATGCGAGAGCGAGTGGAATCCTGAACCGACCGAGGCCATGTCTTTGTCTCTGCTCTTCTTCTACCAACTCATCCAATCATCCAAGATGTAAACTCAACTCAATTCACAGCACAAGCATAATGTCAAAAATAGCGGAGCAGCACAATCAGCGAATGAAAGCGACGGGTGCAAGACGAGCACAAACACACAGGCATGGAGAGAGAAGGAAGAAAAAATCAGATGCAAGAGAACGGGGGGGCCCGAGAGCCGTGCAACAGTTTTGCTCTTCCCCCCCGCCAAGTCTTGCTTTCACCGACTTGCCTATTTGACACGGGCTTCCCATACGTAATAACGCATCAGGAGACGATGTCAACATACCACTCACGCCTGCAGGGAGCGGTGCCACGAGCCTGTTAGCACGCTTGCTAGTGATCTAGCGGATTACAGTAGCACATGCATCCATCCAATGCATTGCAGAAGCCCATCCATCTGGATGAAATAGTACCTGCGTGTAAACTGTACGCAACCAACAGAAATCCGGCTCGACATCCTCACCGCCTTTCGGCCCCGGGCGGCTGCGTTTTCTGCCAACGCCGACGTCAACGGACCGCTGCAAATTAGCCGGTCTGGATAAGAAAAATCTACGGGGCTGATAAAGTTGCTCCGTCCAAGTGCCAGCAGAATCAGACAATCCTCCAAGTATTTGCAATCAATTCACCGGCTGCAAGTAGCTGTGCCGGCTTCGCTCCTCGCCGTTTGTCCTTTCGCGCCCGTCAGATCTCAGCCCTTCCCCCCTTGCTACCCGGCTCCAGTTTTCGGATATCGTGGGACAGGAGCAAGAGCAGTACAAAGCAAGAGAGACAGAGAGAGAGAGAAAAAAGAACGGGGAACTACCTTAGGGGTGCGGAAACAGTACAAAAGCCCCCCCCGACCCAGAAACTCGGAAATAAGCAAGAAATATCACATCTTGAATGCTTCCTCAGCGGAATGTCCCTTCCGTAGCTCTCTGTCGCCTCTGTCTGAACCCTCTCGACTCGACGCTGTTGCGCAACCGGCAACGATGAGTTCAGCATCCGCAGCGCACGCGGCCGAGCCGCAGCTGCAGGCCGAAAAGAAGAAGAAGAAGCTGAGAGCGCCGGCGATGCGGTATCCCTTCTGGTTTGGAGGCAGCGCGAGCAGCTTGGCCGCCTGCGTTACGCATCCATTGGACTTGAGTATGTTGTCCCCTTTGCCTCCTTTTTTCTTGCTGCTGTTGTCCTGGCTCCATCTGCTGCGCCCTTTCAATTCCAATGCTGACCCGGTTTATGATACCATAGTCAAGGTACGGGCATTCTGACATCTGACACCAATTGCATCCTCCGATGTTCGGCGCAAAACCCCCCGTCGCGATATTCCCATGTCCCGATGCCGAATTTTCGAGAGAAAGCTTCACGTGAAACGGTCTTCTAACCCTCTCTCGAAAAAAAAAAACAGGTCCGCCTGCAAACTCGCGGAGCCGATGCGCCCAAGTCCATGAGCGGCACCTTTGTCCACGTCGTGAAGAACGATGGACCGCTCGGCCTCTACAGCGGCATCTCGGCGTCGCTGCTCCGGCAGCTCACGTACTCGACCGCCCGGTTCGGCATCTACGAGGAGGTCAAGCAGCGCTACATCGCCCGCCACGGCGGTAAAGAGCCGTCCTTCGCCGCGCTCATCGCCATGGCCGTCGGCTCGGGCTTCGTCGGCGGCATCGCCGGCAACTTTGCCGACGTGATCAACGTGCGCATGCAGCACGACGCCGCGCTGCCGCCGGCCGAGCGCCGCAACTACAAGCACGCCGTCGACGGCATGGTCCGCATGGCCAGGGAGGAGGGCGCCCTGAGCTGGTTCCGCGGCTGGCTGCCCAACAGCTGCCGCGCCGCCGTCATGACCGCCGGCCAGCTCGCCACGTACGACGCCTTCAAGCGCCTGCTGCTGGACTACACCCCGATGGGCGATACCCTCACCACGCACTTCTCCGCGTCCTTCCTGGCCGGCCTGGCTGCTGCCACGGCAACGAGCCCCATCGATGTCATCAAGACCCGTGTCATGTCCACGTCGCACAAGCAAGGCATCCTGCATCTTGTAAGAGACATCAACCGAGCCGAGGGCATCCGCTGGATGTTCAAGGGCTGGGTGCCCAGCTTCCTGCGGCTTGGCCCGTAAGTTGACAAACTCTTTCATACTCACGACATGTTCCCTCATCCACTGACCTCGACAGACACACCATTTGTACATTTGTCTTCCTAGAGATGCACCGCAAGGTATATAGAAAGGTAAAAGGCGTGGACGAGAAAGCCACATAGACAAACCGGCAGGCGAAAAATGCTTTGGGTAAAGGGGGAGAAGACCAGGCGGGAAAAAAAAATCAATCAGTCCAACGAGTGAGTGATGATGGGTGACGGGTTTGTATAAAGAAATGCGGGCGGCGTTTTGATAGATTTCTCGGCGGTTGTTTCAGTGCACATCACCTCGGCATCTCTTTTTTCCTTCATCCCTTCATTTCTTTTTCTTTTTCCCCCTTCGATTCGCATTTTTGAATTCTCTTGACGACCGAAACACCACACTCACATCACTAGGGGGACGTGGCGCCCCTGAGCTCTTTCTGGACATATCCATACATAGACAAATTGGTAGAATGAACAAACGATTGGCAAGAGGGTATCCATGGATATTATTTCAGAGTGTCTGCTTTTGTTTTGCTTTTTGCCTACATTCCTTTTTTCTTCTTCTCGGTTTTCAGAATAGAATCCGACTCACCTCTCTAATTAATACGCTGTTGGCCCCCAAAAATATTGTACAATCCAGAAGCGTGAAACCATCCTTGCTCATGCGAGATAAGAAAAATAAAATAAAATAAAAAAGAGGTTCCCAGTCATCCCATCAAACGCCCTCATCCGTTTACTGCCAGGAGTTGCCCTGGCTATAAGGTCCTGATCCGTATCCTGCGTTCGAACCGCCCGCCGCAGAGCCACCATACGACGTCGAGCTGCCGCCATACGCCGTGCCGTTTCCGTAGGCCGTTGCGCTGCCGCCGTATGAAGTGCCGCCTCCATAGGCCGTGTTTCCACCCCCGTATGCCGTATTGTTTCCGTATGGAGTTGTGTATCCGCCGTCCTGCCAAGGTGTGGTGCCGCCGTCCATGTTCATGTCGGGACTTCGCGGGCCGTCCATGTCGGTATCGTCGCCACCGTACTTCCTAGGATCGAGTCCCTTTAATAACCCTCCAATCTTTTGCTGCAATACTCGAATACCTCCTTGGATAATCAGATCCGGCTCCATAGTTCCTGATGCCTCAACTTCGAAGTAGAATCGGTTCGGCACTGCGTCAAAGTCAAAGGGCTCGCCTTCTTGAAGGGGTTCTTCCCACTGAGCATATTTGCTCTTGGGCCTAGAGCACGTGTTAGACTGCCACCCTGGCCGCCATCTCGGGAAAAAATTGTCTGCTTACCATTCCTTCTCCGGGTCAGTATTGTTTTCAAACCACATGTCGAGATGGTGTAGCTTGTTGTGAGGGTCGTATTCGAAACCAACTGCCGACGTCGGCATCCACTTTGCATGCTCCTTTGCAATGCCCTTCTTCGCAATGCACGTAATCTTGAGCTCCTGATCCTTTCGCAGCTTGGCAATCAAGCACCCCAGACCCTCTGGATCCGTAATGATGGGAGTCCCAACCGAATTCGCATGGCGCCCATCAGCAACCAGATCCCGAGCATAGACCTTCATGATTTCGTCGCTTGTGCACTTTGCGTGCAGCGTGAGGCTGACACTGCATTGCTCGCAGTACTGTTCACAGTCGCAGTCACGGGAGTAGTTGAGTTCGTTGACCCCCTTGGAGTCGAGAGGAATTAGGCCGAGTCGATGTGCGATGAACTCGTCAGCCAGAACAGAGCTGTTGACCTCGATTTCCACCAAGTCGATGGCGATTGTCGGCACTTCGGCCTGGATGATTCGTCGGAGGGCGTTGGCGAACGGCAGGTTCGTTCTTGAGAGCTCAAAGTCCACGCGTGTGCTATCGGCCTGAAGTACGGTAAAAAAACAAATGGTCAGGCCAATACTCAACCATGCAACTCATGAGACTCTGTCATACCGCTGAAATCTTGACCTGGGGCTGCTCGGGCTCCCCATCCATAGCCATCGGGTCATAATGCAAGGCGTCCATCCTGACGAAAAAAGCTGGCCGGACTCCGGCGCACGAAGGGCAATGAAGTTGGATTGATTCGATTCTTTGTTTCGATTCAGACGTTGAAGAAAGCAAGGATAAGAAATATGCAAAAGCTTGCCGTGATGAAGGGGGGGGGCAGACTCTGATGCAAAGTGCCGTCAAGAGAAAGTGAAGGAGAGTTAACAAGCCAGCAGTTCAGTTCAATGCGCAGTGTTGAGAACGCGCCCGCCATATCGATTAGGAGCAAAAGTGAGCCGGAGTATTAGTAATTCCGGCTCTTATCGGGACCTCCCCAGCATCGCGATAACGAGAAAAAAAAAATCTCCCCGCGAAAGCAATTGACAACTACAAGCCAGCAGCAGCAATTGGAGAAAGTGCTAAACTTCTGGAGCTTCTCAATCTCTTGATAAAAAATTCCGATGCCTCCCAGTTGCACCATCCGCCAAACATCAACCCCAAGCTGAATACCATCACTCTCTCACAAAACAGCAATTACAAAGGAAAACACCAAAAGATGAAGATCAAGGCCATCAGCCGATCCGTATCGGCCCACCAGCCTCCCGGCACCGACACCGTCAAGCAGCCCCGAAACCTCGACTCGGCCGTCCACCCCTTTGAGCGCGCGCGCGAGTACAAACGAGCCCTCAACGCCGTCAAGCTGGAGCGCATGCACGCCGCGCCCTTCATCGGCCAGATGGGCAGGGGCCACGTCGACGGCGTCTACTCGCTGGCAAAGGACCCCAACTCGCTCGAGCGCTTCGCCAGCGGCAGCGGCGACGGCGTCGTCAAGGTCTGGGATCTGGCCTCTAGAGAAGAAGTCTGGCACACGACGGCGCACGAGAACATCGTCAAGGGCCTCGAGTGGACGCGGGACCAGAAGCTGCTGACGTGCGCCGCCGACCGCACCGTCAAGCTCTACGACCCGTACAACACCGCCGGCGACTCGGCCGCCCCGATCTCGTCGTGGCTCGGCGCCGGCGCCTTCACCAGCCTATCGCACCACCGCTCGCGCAATGCCTTTGCCGTGGCGTCGAGCGTCATCTCCGTCTACGACCTGGAGCGGCACACGGCCGCGCCCGAGGTGCTGCACTGGCCGACGTCGACCGACACAATCACAGACGTCACCTTCAACTACGTCGAGACGTCCGTCCTCGCCTCGTGCTCCAACGACCGCTCCATCGTCGTCTACGACCTGCGCACCTCGGCCGCCGTCGCAAAGTCGGTCCTCACTTTCGCCTGCAACCGCGTCTCCTGGTCGCCCATGGAGGCCTTCAACTTCGCCGCCGCCTCCGAGGACCACAACATCTACCTCTTCGACATGCGCAAGATGGACCGCGCCCGCAACGTCCTCAAGGGCCACGTCGCCGCCGTCATGGACGTCGAGTTCTCCCCCACCGGCGAGGAGCTCGTCTCCGCCTCCTGGGACCGCACCGTCCGCCTCTGGAACCGCGACCGCGGCCACTCCCGCGACATGTACCACACAAAGCGCATGCAGCGCGTCCTCTCCGCCAAATGGACCCCCGACGCAAAGTACCTCCTCTCCGGCTCCGACGACGGCAACATCCGCCTCTGGCGCGCAAACGCCTCCCAGCGACAGGGCGTCAAGTCCGCCCGCCACCGCCAGGCCCTCGAGTACAACGACGCCCTCGTCCGCCGCTACGGACACATGCCCGAGATTGCCCGCATCAAGCGCCACCGCCACACTCCCAAGGTCGTCAAGAAGGCTGGCGAGATCAAGAACGAGGAGCTCAAGTCCATCAAGCGCCGCGAGGAGAACGAGCGGAAGCACTCGAGCAAGCAGTTCCAGGCCCGGAAAAGCGAGAGAGAAAAGATGGTCCTCGCTCGAGAAAAGTAATCATTGGTGCTTGGTTTGGGTCCTTGTTTATTTGGGATTTATATAAAAATTGGGCAAGGGAAGTTTAAAACATGGGATCTTGTCAAGATTGTTTGCATGGCACGGCGTTTTTAGGAATGGAGGATTTCTTCTGGGAGACCCAAATAATTTTTCAGTCTCAATCTGTAAAGCTAGATCTGCTGGTATCATAGTAGGGAGATCTTTTATCTGTACATTTGTTTGTTCTCATCATACTACCACAGTAAAAAAAAAGAAAACGCAATCAATTTTTCTCTTTAAACAAAACAACACACATGTGAGAGACTGCTCTTCCTCCCCTCAAAGATTACAAGTACACATAAAGACGACATCACGGCTAGACGTAAAAATCTTTTGGCAATCTGTCTTTGAAAAAAAATCATAAAAGACAAAACATATCGTCACTTTTCGTCTAGTCTTCATCGCCTAAAGCAACAACGCGGCACGCAAATCAAGTGTTGCCGATCAATCAAGTACAAAAAGAAAAGATAGAAAAGGCAACTCCATAAGCAGGCTAAAATTCCGTATTTGCCTCTTTCTTTGTCCCCCTTTAAACGCCGTAAGCTTGCCTCAAGCCGGATGAAGAACAAAAAAAAAATCTCGGGAAAACCAAGCAACAAAGAAGAAAAGTGAATCAGAGGGTGGACCCAAGGCATTACCAGCGCTCAATCACAGTACAGCTCGTGTCTGCATGTGGTCAACGAGCAATCCTCTTCCGCTCTGTAGGTTGTAAAGAGTGTAGTCGTAATGGGGTTGTCCTGTTTCTCCCTGTATAGTAACTTGCCACCCGCCGGCGTAAAAAAAAACCCTACCCTTCCACGCTTATCGTCCCAACGCCAAATTTGTTCCGTTCTTGTTGTACAACTAATGCATTGCCTGGCCTGCTTATCCCGGCGGATATCTTTAAAAAAAATTGAGAAAGAAGAAAAAGAAAAAAGGAAGAAAACAAAAGTAAGGGAAAAAGAATAGGAGAGGTGGCATGAAAGCGGGGTTTAGACGCTGCCACGAGCAGCCTTTTGAGGCTTGTAGTTGGACATCTCGTCAAACCAGCCTCGCCCTTCGTTATATCGGTAGGCGTGGAAGGCGATGCCATAAGGTTTGGGCTCAATGGAATAGAGCATGCCCAGGGGCACGTCCATGTCGGTAATGTCCTCTCGAGTCAAGTCCATGAAATAGGCCATCAGGACGCGGCAAACGGACCGGTGTCCGATGATCAGCACGTGGTCAGTGATGCGCTCAATCTCCCGCACCATGTCGCGGAGGCGGCTGATAACCTGAAGGTAGCCCTCACCGCCGACGCCCGGGTAGATGTAGTTGAGCTTGTCGTTGGCACGCTTCTTGAATTCCTCGGGGAACTTGGCCGCAATCTCGTCGTATGTCATGCCCTCGAACTGGCCCGAGTTGAGCTCGTTGAGCATTTCCCAGTTCTTGACGTCGTAGTCGTCGTCAACGTCAAAGTATTCGGCCGTCTCCACGCTGCGCTGCAGCATTGACGTCCAGACGCAAAAGTTCTTCTCGTCCAGATCGCTATACATGTCTGGATAAGGTGGAGTGTTGTCGCCTGGAAGAGGGGGAAATGACGCCTGCGCCATCTTGCTCTTCTGCTCCATGATCCACTCCTTTCGTTTGTGCGTGATGAAGCGATGGAGAGCTTGGGCATAGCAGTGGCCACGCTCGGTAAGAGCAGAGTCACCACCTAATTTGCCCAGCTCGTTGTCGATGCTTTGGCCATGGCGGGTGATCCAAATTTGGCGAGGGGCGAGGTTGAAGCTGGAAAGGTAGGTGCTGAGCCCGCCGCTTAAAAATCCCTTGAGTCTGTGCTGAATCAACTTTCGCCCAACGTCGACCATCTATAGGAGGTTAGCGAAATGATGAGATAGAGAAAGGAAAGGCTTCTGCAGCTTCTATGCCGCCCAACGTACCTGAATGTATTGCATGTCGTGATCTTCCTCGTACTCTCCAAGGGGCTCATATGCGCTGGCATAGGCGGCAACTCGCGCCTTGAAATCCGCCAGTGACTGGATCGGATCCTTATCCCGATAATCGGGGCCAGAAAGCTTCAGGCGCATATTTGCTTCAAGCAAGTCTGGATCTCTGCAGATGCTCTCGATGAACAAGATACCAAGCTTGGGTTCTCTCTGCTTAATGTGATCCACGACATGCTGTCTTCGCGCAATAGTGCTATTTGTAGCATCAAGGATACCCACGGCACCACCCTCGTTCAAAAGGTAGTCCAGGAGCTCGTCCAGGGTATCCATGGCCACCTGCTCTCGAAAAGCCGCCGCCTTTTCGTTCTTGGGGTCGAAGAATTGGGCCGATTGATCTGCATCCTGCTGTGAATCGGTTCGGTTGAGATGGAATTCCGTAGGCTCTTCTCGGTGTCGCGGGCTCAAGCAACCGCTAGGGGCCGGCAAGCCATTCAATAGAATCTCAGCAGCTTGAACCGGAGGGTCAAGGCAGTCGGGTTCTGGCGCCAGCTTGGGGTGAACGGAGACCTTGCGACCAGCCGTCTTGCGCCGCCGATTGCCCACGTTAAAGATGCGCGATTCGTGCTGCTGCCATGTTAGATAGCGTTGGAGCTTCTTCGTGATGTATGATTTTCCACGAGCCGGCAAGCCGACCATGACAATGACGAGCTTGGCGGCCACATCGCGCTGAGGTATCCGTCCATCAGGCGAAACCTTGGACCGGGTCATGCCCGGGATGTTGAGAGTCGTCGCATGCGGTCGCACTCGGGGAGTTTGGCTGCCGGAATTCTGTCGCTGAGGAGGTCTGTTGTTTTCCCGGTACATTAGCCCTGTGTTTCTTGGCGAGTGACGTAGTCGCCGTCATGGATTGAGCCTGATTTACGGTGGAGAAGGGGGAAAAAACCACCGAGCCCAGGAACAAAGGCGAACGATCAAAGGACGTTTGTAAGCACTCACATGCGTGGCGAGCTGGGAGCAGTCGAGGTGACGCTCCTCGAATACGGAGGCGTCTCTGTCAAATCATTCATAATGCGCGCGGCATTGGCCATGGCTGGAATCGGTGCGATCGGGACCGGGAGGGTGCTGTAGACATCTTTGGCGGGGGGTGGCAGCACGGCCAGATGGTGGGGATGCTCCAGTTCGGGAGAAGCGGGCGAGGTCGACGAGGGAGAGGTGGAAGGAGGCGACGGCGGTGATGAGAAGAGCCGGTTGTTCATGACAAGCTTTGCGAGTGCCGATTGCTTTGCGAGTCGTCGTCCAGCGTCTGTGTGCGAAGAGGGTGGGCAGGTAAGCAGGACGTCTCTCTCGATCTGGAGGCGCAACTCTGGCGCAAGGAAAAAAAAATTATGACGGGGCGAGACCAGGCGGGCTGGAGGGGGGGAAGAGGAGACAAACAAAAGAGCGAACCGGCGGATGCAATTAAAAGAGGGAAAAAGATGATTGGAAAGAATCGAGCCTGGAGACTGGTTGAAGCGATGGACAGGTTACACACCTTCTCTGCTGAAAGACACTGCGGAAGGCATTTGGAGAGATACAGATGCAGGATCAAGGTTGGAGAGCAAATGTAAATGCCTGTGTTTTGACGCAAACGGGGGAGAGCCTGCAAGGCTCGCACTCGCAGGGAAATAAATGGCCTGCAGCATTTGGCGCGTCCAATAGCGGGCTAGCTCGCTGCGAAACCGGCTCGTGGGCTGGATGAGTGGTGTCCAGCGTTAGCGGGCCAGGGCCCTGGAGTCAGCGGCGTTGCAGGGAGCGCGGAGCGAGTTTGGGGGTCTCTTGGAAGCCTGTGTGGCCGCAAGTACCGGTACTTGCAGCGTGAGGCTTGCTGAGGGAGGGGTGACCGGCCAGCGGACGGCGCTTGTGGCCTGGTAGAGTGGTAGAGTGGTACTAAGAGGGGCAAAAGGTACCTAGGTACAAAGTACAAGTTGCAGTCACAAGTGCAGGCACCGGTACAGGTACAAGCGCAAGTTGATAAGTTGTTGGGGTGGAGTCGGGGCTGGCACTTTGTGGTCGAATCCGGTGCGAGGAGATCGAGTCCGTTTTGAGAAAGACGGGAAGAGAATTACAGTAAGCTGGCACCTAGGCGAAACTGGACGGAAGCGTTGTGTGTGGTGTTGGTAGTGGGAGAGCGAGATGCCGTAATTATATGGCCGGCGTAAATCAAAAACGAAACGAGTCGCAGCAAGAATAAATAGAAATGGTTCCGTGGACGCTGCGTAATAAAATCTCGTTAGCATCATGCCGGCATCTGGATTGCATGAATAAATGAGATGCCAAAGGATAAGCTGGGATCCATAATAGGGCAGCGTGCTCGCGCTCGATACAAAAAATACAAAAAAAAAATCGCAGCCCACAATAAAATAACAACACAGGTGATTGATCAGGTGCGCGCGGGAGCCAAACATACGTCAGAAGCCCGTTATATGGCCACCGGAAAGGAGGCTTTGATGACGGGAGAGCAGCTGTGGCCCAGTTTGGCTGATACGAGCCGTCTCAGGATTCAGCGAGGTGAGGTGACGTTCCGGGTTGTTAGTCTGAGCCAGGGCAAGTCGATCGATAATGACGGCGAAGCTCGCTGAAGAGGACGAATGGCAGCAACAGATACTATCGTCTTTAGTATCGCCGCCGGGGGGCTGTGGACTCGTAATAAGGTACAGTGGTGAGAGTCCGTTCACGATCGGATATGTACTCCCGTACTAAAGATAGACAGCGAAACAAGGACAAGGGATGCTGTGGTTGGCTGATATCGAGCAGGCGTCTTATCTTGCAAGATGGCAGAGAGCCTATGGAGCAGAAGGAGAGTATTGAAAATCAAGAGTCAAAAATGCAGCTTCCCACATGGAGCGGCAGGGCTTTATACAAGACCACAGAGACAACCCCCCCCCAAAGGCTCCTACTACATATGTCTACCTACATGTAACGACCCAGAGCTGCCAACGCCAACCTCCGTGCATGGCATGGCGCTTCGAATGCACCATCTCACCTTGGAAAAGACCAGCCCACTCTGCTCAGCCT